TGGAGAGAGCCGCGTCAAGTTTGGTGGGGTGGGCCACTTACTGATGTGGGCCGCTTACTGATAAAACACGTTAAGTGGGAATACGGTAGTGGTAATGTTTACTAAGGAATACATATGTTCTCCATTGATTTGTCTAAAAAAAATTGGTCTCTGTGCTGTTAGGAGTTTGTCGAGAATGAAGGATTTGTCCACGAAGCCAAGGAATGCAAGACGCTCGCTAAGCTTTCGGGTTGAAGGGTGAATGTCGCAGTAGTTCGGGAGAAGTATGGAGAATCCACGGACTTCGGCGATCTTCGGACGCGTTCGGGCAAGTGCTTCTTGGTTTAACAACAAGATGCTTTGTACACCCACGAAAAGAACCATGAAAGGGGGGCAACGGTAGGACATGGCAAACATATAGATGGTCTAGAAAGTAATTACAATAGTCAAGCCGCATGGCCGAGTGTAGTCGGAGGGCGAACAGCGGCGTGCCGGCAAGTATGGAGATGCCGCTTCGGCGCAAACTCTGAGCCGCACGCGATGTGCGACATGCGACGCGTTGCCGGCATGGGACAGACCGGAAGCATGGCTTACACCTGCTGCAGGTGCTTACTCTGCAGCGATTCTTGCGTTGATCTTGCAGGATACCGAAAACGTACGTTGTTACACTCTGATATCAATGAGAAACGTTGTCAATGCAGCCAGGCAATAGATGCAGTTGCCATTTGCGGTCAGAAAGATACGCAGCAAGAGACATGTATTCGACAGCTTCTTCGAGCCAAACGCTGTATCTTTTCTCGTTTGCGCAAGACAGTGTATGCATGCATTCGAGGTATCACGCATCAATGACCTGACCTTAGTGCGGCGTCTGTAATCGGGCCAGAAGATTTTGGAGGGCTTGGGCTAGGCAGGGTCTGCCGAAAAAGCTCTTACCTCATCAACAGGGCCTAGCGGTGCCGGAAGCTCGGCGACGTCACCATGCTGTAGGTGCCCTACATTTAATCGCCGCATCATGTTTTAATAAGTCGCCGTAGACGCCGTTTTATTTTCGATATCACCTTACAGTCATCGATTCGTCGACAGTTTAACAACCCCTCACGACCCCTCTCACCTGCTTTACATCCAGCAATCCACACGCCAACAACCCCCCATTTTTGACCCAGCCAGACCATATTCACATAACGCAAGATGAAGGTTCTCACCAAAGAAGAAGAGCAAGCGCATTACAAGTAAGTGCAACCACCATCCCGCCGAAAACTTTTGTACTGACGAGCAACAGTGCTACGGTTAAGGGTGGCACAATCGGTGGTCTCATCGGCACAGCAGTAGGTGCTGCAGCTGTTGTGGGCGCAAGCAGACGCTACCACTCCTTCCGAGCCCTCACGGTGCCATTCCGAGCTTTCCTTATCGCTTCAACTGGAACCTTTGTCGGTATGTCCAAAGCCAACAATGTTCTTGTACCACAAATTTTCAGAGTCTGACCATACAATTCAGCCGTCATCGCCGCCGACCGGGCTTCGGCACAATACGACATTGAACACACTCCCGAGAAGAAGCGTCAAATCGAGCGTGACCAACAACGAGAATCCCTTCTCGAAGCCAACAAAACACCTTTCCAACGTGCGAAAGACTGGGCGACGGAGAACCGTTATCCGCTCCTGTTTGGCTTCTGGGTTGCTTCCATGGCCGGCTCATGGCACATGGTCAACCGCAACCCTTACCTGAGTGGGTCACAGAAGCTCGTGCAGGCGCGTATGTACGCCCAGGGTGGTACACTGGCTGCGCTACTAGGCAGCTTTGCCATTGAGGGTGCAGATGCGGCCAAGGGCAAGGGAAGGTGGGAGACCATCAAGATTGTCGACCCCAACGACCCCGAGCACAAGCACATCATTGAGAAGAGGATCCACCACGAGAGATATGCGGGTGAGGACCAGTGGAGAGGTACGAGACCTGCATTCAACGCATGGAAGATAGCAAGCTGACTTGAGGACATAGAAATGGTCGAAGCTGAAGAACAGCGCCAAAAGGAGCGCGAGGCCGCGAAGGCAAATGGCCAACGAGCCAAGCAGCAATGAGATGCTGCAGATGAGAAATACTAGAAGCCCGAAGATGAAGAGCAATGACGGACCTAAAGTCTTTTTGCCTCGGAGTGTATTCCTACCTCATCATCCCAGATACTTTCACCGGCCTGTTTACCGTGTAAATTTGTAGGGTTTCATTTTTCATGTTGGAGGTTTGATGCAAATTTGCAGGCGTTTACAAGCATTGGTGCTATTTTCCCTTCCCTATATCTCCTTATGGCTCATGTATGACTAGATGGTTTGCTCGCAATTGGCTAGGAATGCAGCGGCACATACCTTTAGAGCTCACTGTACTACAAAAGGAAGATTTCCTTTGCTTCAATCTACTACTATATCCACCATGACAGTAGCCAATCAAATGATGGAATACCCAAGAAGCAAATATTTTGAACGTAGTAGTTTCAGGGTCCATGATGACGTCTACGCGTTTAGATGGAGGCACTACCATGCATGAAGCACGTCACTTGAATTCGTATTCGAATTGATAAACATTGATACAAAACACTTTTTCCTTGGTATTCCTGGTTCTTATTCTGTATATTTTCCATTTTGGCTACATATATGCTAATAGCTACTTACTCCCATACTTTTGCGTGCTGCTAGGCTGGTAACCAATCAATACACACCACTACCACTATAGTTTAAAAGAGATAGAAACAGAAACAAGACTCATGTCGGACCCGGATGTTACCCAGCAACTGGACTCGATATCGCACAGGCTCATAACAAACACCCGCCTAGCCCATGCGCCCAAGAAGCCTCAAGACACGCAACTGACAGCGACCATCGCAGACTTGCACGTCCACCCCACAATCGAAGCACTCTTGCATATTCTAAATCACGACTTGCCATCTGCCCACTTTCTCGTTCGCCACATGCAAGCCCCGCCGGCTGTGGAGGGCATGCTTCTCCACGGCATTCTGCACCGTGCCGAAGGCGACTTCAACAACGCACGAGCATGGCTAAGTGACGTCTCGGACGCATGTGAGGGTTACCAGCCCAAACACAAGGACGAGGGGCAAAAACTAGATCCAGAGGTCGCCAAACAAGTCGGCGGCAACGAGCAGATATCTGGTTCACTTGTCGAGTTCGTTTATGGCACCGAGGACGCTGGAAGTCTTGTTGATGCTGTTGAGGCTTTTCGAAGACAGAAGCAAGGGCAAAGGGGGGAGGAGGAAGAGAGGGAGATTGAGGGGAGAATTAGAGGGGAGGCGGAGAAAGTGATGGAGTGGTGTAGGAGGAAATATGGAAGTGGAGTGTGGAAGGATGCGACGAGGGCTTGGGTTAAGAATAGTGAGGAGATTAGTGAGATTAGTGGGAGTATGGTGAGTGGGGGGAAGGGGTATAGGGAGTTTTGATGAGGAAGTGTAGGTACTGTCTAAAGTTTTTTTATTACTACGATGTTAAAGAATCTGCAAGGTTAGGAGCTTGAGTTTCTCCCTTTCTAAGATAAACGGATCCCCTAGATTTTGAGGATCAATTCACAACTGAAATCAATCGTTATTCGACGTAGTACTAATGCGTAGGAAGGCGTTCTTCCAAGTTTTGGTACCGAAGAAGCTTGATTCGAGATTTCTCCCTGTTTGACTACTGCACTAATCGTGAGCTCAAATACTGTATTCAACCACTTTAGGGAACCACCGTATAGCAAACCCACCCAATTGTCGTAGGTACTGTCTATACAAGACGTTTAACACGTGATACGATCGTAATCCCGAGCACAACTAGTGTCCCGCCGGTGCCAAGACCAACTGGCTGATCATGCCCTCACCCTGGCGACGTGACCGCCCCCTTTGACCGTTCCGCACTCCCTCTGGCGCCAATGGGCCACGGGACAACAGGCCGTACGCCCATGTGTAAGACTATCTGGTTGCCCGCACGTCTCCAAGGCGTTCAGATGGGCGTGAGGACATGATGCAGCAACCCGTCATTTGTACAGCAACAACCACCGCGGCGAGCTAAGCGAGGATCGGGCCAGGGTGCAGCAGCGAATGGCGTTGGGGCTGCCCCCAGTAGGCGGTCGGCCTGTGACATCAACGGCCAGCTTTCACTTCTTACAACCCGCCATTATTCTTCCCGTACGCACGTGCAGCCCGCGGCTGGACTGGAAAAACAGGTACCCATGGCCGACCAACTCCTCCAGGCCAACGGCCAGAGCCGCCCTAGCAACGTCAAACACCACACTTCACCGTCTCTCATGATGAACTCGCACTTTGCGGGCGTGGGCGACAATGCCGACAAGCAATCCTACGAGCATGGCATCCAGGTCATTGACGAGGACAAGATGTTCAAGTATGTCACGGCACCCGAGGCATCGTCCTTGCTGCGGGGCAAAATGCTAATGTCTCCTCGCCATCCAGCGGAAATCTGTCTACATACCTCAGTGTCGAAAATGTCATCCCCGCCGGCTTCAACTACCACCTCATTTCCGTCTTTGGCTCGCAGTCAACGGGGAAGTCGACCCTCCTCAACCACCTCTTTGGCACCCAGTTTGGTGTCATGTCGGAGCAGGAGCGTCGCCAAACTACAAAGGGAATTTGGATGAGTAAGAATAAGCGTGAGGCGGGCGGCTCGGCCATGGCAGAGAACATCCTGGTCATGGATGTCGAGGGAACAGATGGTAGGGAGCGAGGCGAAGACCAGGACTTTGAGCGGAAGAGCGCCCTCTTCGCCCTGGCCACGAGTGAAGTCCTCATTGTCAACATCTGGGAACACCAAGTTGGACTCTACCAGGGTGCCAACATGGGCCTACTCAAGACTGTCTTTGAAGTCAACTTGCAGCTTTTTGTCAAGGATGGCCAGTGAGTATACATTGACTGGATTTGACTGTACTCTGGCACTGACAGCCCCACCAGGTCGAGTCCAAAATCACTCCTATTCTTCGTCATCCGCGATCACATCGGCGTCACGCCCCTCACCAACCTACAAAATACCCTGATACAAGACTTGTCCAAGCTTTGGTCAACCATATCGAAGCCCACCGGTCTCGAAGCCTCGCGGATAGAGGACTACTTTGACTTCGCCTTTGTCGCACTACCACACAAAATCCTCCAGCCAGAAAAGTTTGAAGAGGCAGTCACAAAGCTCAGTACACGGTTCAAGGAAGGATACAGTGACCCAAGGAAGAGTGGGCTCATTGACGAAACAACAGCACCCATCTTCCTTCCTCAATACCATCGTCGGATCCCTGCCGATGGTTTTCCTGCATACGCAGAGGGTGTCTGGGATCAGATCGTGAGCAACAAAGACCTGGATTTGCCAACTCAGCAGGAACTCTTGGCCCAGTTCCGGTGCGATGAGATATCCAGAGAAGTCCTTATTGCCTTTGACGAACAGATCACGCCCCTCGAAGACAAGCAAGCTGAGGCTGCTCGGGCAGGGACATTCTCGATCATCCCTGACCTTGGACCCATCATGAACACTGCACGAGCACAGGTCCTCAAGGATTTCGACACCAATGCAAGCCGATACCACAAGGGCGTCTACAAGCGAAAGCAGGCAGATCTCGAGTCCAAGGTCGACACTCGATTGAAGGCTCTGTTCCAGAAGCAGCTCACATCAGCCCACAAGTCTGGTGTGGAAAGCTTCAGCGAAGCAGTTAGCACAGCGGTGAAGAGCGGTCAGAAGAAGGGAGGATCGTACGACTTTGCACAGATTGTTGCCTCTGAAAAGAAGAAGGCTCTTGCCAGATTCGAAGAGGATGCCAAGGCAATGGCTATCGAAGCGGCAAGCTGGAGCAGCTACGAGAACGAGATGAAGATCTTCAACAAGGAACTAGAAGACGTCTCCAGTCGCCTCCGCAAAGAGGAGATGAGGCGTCTAGCCACCAGAATCGAGCGCTGGGTACGCTCACGTTTGGACGAGTCCGTTGGTCTCGAATTCAACAAGCTCGGATCTGGCCGGGGTGGTTCTGGTGCGCCTGAGAATGGCGATCGACCTCCTACTGAGAAGGACCTCTGGGACCGGGTCTGGAAGATCTTCATCGATACCGTCTCTAGTGCAGAGAAGCGGTTCACTGATCGAGCGTCCAGCTTCGACGCTAGTCCTGAAGAAGTTGAGGTCGGTCTATGGAGACTGCGACGCAAGTCTTGGGCTGTACTTCGTGTTAAACTTGATGAGGAAGTCATGGAGGGCAATATCCTGTTGAAGCTCAGGGAAAACTTCGAAGACAAGTTCCGCTACGACGACCTCGGTGTTCCCAGAATATGGCGACCCACAGACGATATCGAGGGTATCTACACCAAGGCTCGCGAGTCCACAATCACTGTTATTCCACTCCTCGCTCGCTTCAAGCTTGCATCAACTTCGAAGCCTCCGCCGCTTGATGAATGGATCGGCGAGGCACCAGCTTCAGTGACTCCAGCAGATGAGGACGATCTGACTCCCATCGGCGGTGTAGACGATGAAGAGGGCAAGAGTCTGGAAGAGGAGATGACCATTCTGTCCGATGCGAAGCAAGCTGATCTGCTTGTTCGATTCAAGAAGACTGCAGATGGCGTATACGTTGAGGCCAAGCGTAGTGCCATTGGCGGCATCACTCAAGTCCCACTATACTTTTATGGTCTTCTCCTTGCTCTCGGTTGGAACGAGATAGTCACAGGTACGTTTGTTACTGCTATGCCGATTCTTGTTACCTCCTATACTGACACGTTCCAGTTCTACGCAACCCAGTCTATTTCATCTTTCTCATTCTTATGGGCATCGGTGCTTACGTTACCTACACGCTTAACCTATGGGGCCCCATGGCACGCATGGCCAACGCCGCCTCACAGCAGGGTCTCGAGGTTGGTAAGGAGAGGCTGCGCAATTTCCTTGAGAACTCAGATACTGGTCGTCAAGCCATGGCTATGAGCGGCTCGAATGAGTCTCGAAGATACGAGAAGGTCCGCATGGACAGGTTGAACGGAGATGGCAAGAAGAGCAACGCTGAGGTTGAAGACTTGGACGATATCTGAAAGATCAAACGTAGGCTCAAACTCTTCTTTGGACTAAACAGTGTTGGGGTTCAATAGCACGGATTGCAGGTCTTTGATGATATTGCGCTAGGGATTTTGTCAACGGATTTTCCCACATGTTCAGATGGCGTAGCGAAGGAATGCGAAAAGCGAAGTTGCTGTCTTGTGCTCTTTTGCATAGTTCTAGATCGTGTTCTTCATTCAGTATGTGCATGTCCTCCTAATAGCCGTTATCGTTGCGATTAGTTGCGTGCGTACTGCCGTCTACTACAGCCAAATAGCAATGGAAAAGTGTCCAAGGTACATATATCTCTTGGCGGGTCCTTCATCATACCCTACAACCAATGGGCCTTCCCTCTTCCATAAATTCCCCCATAACATGACAATCCCCCCCCCCGTATTCACACCCCAAACTTCCTCGGATCCAAACTCTCAATCCGCGCACTCCTCGCCTCCCCCTCAAACACAATCTCACTCAACAGCTTCCCCGTCCCCGGCCCATTCTGAATCCCCCAACACGTATGCCCCGCCCCCATCAGCAAACCCGCCACACTCGTCTTGCCTACCAGGGGACCCCCACGCTTCATATTCGGCAAATAACACGCCTGTCGCGCTGTCACCTCTCCATCTCTCAGCTCCTCTGACACGGACGATACTTGATCGATGATGTCCTGGCAGCGCTGCTCATCGCAGTGTACGAGGTCGGTGGAGGCGGGTAAAGGGACGAGCGTGTCGCCGTCGCCGCAGGCGTAGACTTCCTGGTTGGGGCGTGCGTAGATTTCCGGTGTTACTGTTCCGGCGGCGGCACGCGGCATGCTGATGGTGGTGAATAGGGCGTAGGCGGAGACGGGGCGGGTGGGGCGGATGGTTACGCTGTGGGCGCGGAGGGGGTAGATGGGGGTGGGGGTCCAGAGTGATTTTGTCCAGGGGCCTGCGGTGAGGATGATTGTGTCTGCGGGGAGTGTTTGTTCGTCTTGATCTGAGTCTTTGGGTTTGTAGGAGACGGAGGTTACGGCGCCGTTTTCCTGGGTGATTGTTGTTGCGGAGCCGTAGAGGATTTTTACGCCGTTTTCTTGGGCGAGTTGGGCCATGCTTGTAGTGAATTGGTAGGGGTGGACTTGGGCGGTTGTGGAGGGTGTGCCCATTTCTTCGTAGGCTTTTATGCCTTCGGCAGCGATCCAGTCGAGGTCTTTGGGTACGCCGGCGGCTCGCAGCAAGCCGATTGCTTTCTCTGTACGCTTCTGTAGACTCACATGGTCTTCTTTGGCTTTGCTGTCTGCGTCGCCTTTGGTACTCTTTTGCTTTGATAGGACGCCGACCATGTCGATTTGGCCGCAGTGCACAGCTCGGTAGCCCCAGCGGTTAGCTCCATCGTGCTTCTCAGCTAACTCTTGATGCAGCTTATAGCTCAATGGCACAATACAGCTGGGATAGGCCCATAATCCCAATAAACCGCCAGCTTTTCCTGATGCCCCACCGGCGATTTTGGTTGCTTCGAGAAGAGTAATTGTATCTCTTTCTCTATCGAATTTTTCATGGTGCGAGAGAAAGTATGCTGTGGTTGACCCGATGATACCGCCACCTAGCAAGGGACATCAGCCTCGGATTCTCGTGGAAACCGGATGTCGGGAATAAGTACCGATGATGACGATATTCCGTTTTTGTTGCTCTGCTGCCATGGTGGTTAGAAGGTGCGACGGTACCCTAAGCATGTGATGGTGGTTGGTAGGAAGGGTGGCGTTGATGGTGTTGCATTTTTCGGCGGCTAATAGACCGATTACAAAGGTACGTCATAGGTTATTCTTTTCGCAATAGATTGCAAAGCGCCCTATTAGGGAGGCTCAAGTTCGATTTCGAAAGAATTACACTAACAACATTAACTAGTCGGAGTATTTAAGAAACGCACTAGGGAATGGAAAGGCAGACTTCTCGCAACGGGGTTTAAAAGTCCCCGCCCATATCACCCATATCTCCCCCATCGTCTCCACCCATGTCACCATCATCGCCGTAGTTGTTCTGAATATATGTATCGCCATCGTCTCCCGCCATTGCTGATCCTATGAGACCACCAGCGAGCAGACCACCTCCCGCTCCAAGAGCCATGGCCCCCATGCCCGCTCCTCCTCCAGGGCGCCTGCCGCCACCGCCCATAGGCATCATTCCACCACCCATCGGCCTTCCGTAGCCTCCTCCACCGTAGTAACCACCCCCAACAGGCTGGCCGTAGCTTGGCTGGCCGTATCCATGGTGTTGCTGTGCATAACCAGGCGATGGCGAGTGTGACGAGCCAGAAGCCTTTCCAAGGATCTTGCCTAGGAAGCCTTTGCTCTTACCACTCTTTTCCTGTACGGCTGTGTCCTGGTATTGCCCTTGTTGGTATGGATTTGGACTTGGTTGGCCGTAGCCGCCATATTGTTGGGGATACGACTGGCTGGATTGGTTGTAGTAATCATTTGAGGCACCTCGTGCGTGCGCTTCTTCCTCTTGTTGAAGTTTTCTTGCTAGTTTCTCATCTTCACTAATGTTCGCATACGGATTGTTACTACTCAGGCTTCCCTTCTCGCTCCCGCCAGTTGGGAAACCGCCCACTGCCCCACCAGCTGAAGGCGAGACATAGTTGGGAGGTGCGCCTGGAGGCGGCGCTTCACCAGGAGGGTAGACAGGATGCGTTGGCTTCTCCCATTGCGACTGCTTCGTATAGATGTTGACGTAGAACCACTCGTTGTACTGTGTGTTCCAGACGGCCTTCCAGCCTTCGGGCACTTGTGGCGGGGGAGGGCCCTGTACACACTATCAGCTATGTTTGCGCATTGGCCCAACTGCGCTTACTGGTGGAGGTGCGAAATCTGCCATGTTACGTGGACTGTAGTGCTAATTCTGGGATGGTGTTTTGACCTAGGGTGCAGAAGAAACGATGAGCTGGGATACCAAGAGATCGTGGCAGAGTAAGCTGTAATCCCGCAGTGATGGGCTGATGACCCGCGGCCCTCCGTGTGAGTGTGACTTTCAATACAGTGTGCGTCATTGTGGCGTGGCGACTAGATGGTAAGCCAAACACCTGCTGAGCCACATTGCGCGGCTGTGATGACGATACCAGTTTCCATGAATGCCATGGCACATGATTCGTAGTTTGTGCGCATTCGTTTGTACGCGAACCCTCGAGGTTGCAAGGGATCTGGATGAACATGATGTCATTCCGGGCCTGGGTATGCGAACATGTACCACAAAGCTAAAATCTACCCTTGATTCTACACCCACGCGACGGTACCAGAACATTGTTCCCAACTATAAGACTTTGGCTCCCAAGTACCCAATGTTTTTGTGCACCAACATGGGCCGGTTTCTGTCGTCTTCTCACAGCCGCCTTGTATGCATTCTGCGAAATTAGCGATCGCTGGAGTGATCGGGTTGTTCCGTTGCCAATAAGATACTTGTTTCATGGTACAATTAGTACAAGTCTTGGTAGAGCTAAGAACACTACCGAAGAGGTTAATTTAGTTTGCGACTAGCAACAGACCTTACAGCAGGCTCATTGCCGATAAGTCAGACCTTCACCAACGAATGTGAGAACTCCATCCGGATACCGGCACGTGCGGCCACTAGTTCTGGAATAGCCCTCGCGTCTTCAGTCAGACATACCTCCAAGGAGAGGCTTTATCTATGACTTGTGCCACAGACAACAGAAACACATGATGAGCAGTCTATTCGAGAAGTGGTGTTAAAGGCGACACGAAATGGTTCCTATATTCAGCTCATCTGTGTATAACATCAACACTCCCAAATCTTCCTTTCTAATCTCCCTTGCTCTTTGTGTATTTCTGGAGGAAGATGGTCTGGTTTGTTTGACTTTGTGTTGGTTGATCCAAGGCGGTCAAGCTGTGGAGTGATGACGTGCACACCTGCTAACAAAAGTGCTGAGACAGTTTCAGCAGTGTATAATATCAGTCATAGTAGCGTGGTAGTTACAGGGATCAGCAATTGTTACGACTACTTTCACTTGGCGGCTTTGGTATTCGTTCCGGTTCTTTTTCGTCAGAGGAAGTGCATACCCTAGGACATGGAAATGGTAACGACATGTCAATAGTTATTCTGTTACATCAGCTGCTGAATTGTCCAAATGGCAATGAATATCGCTCTTGGTGATTTTCTTCGCGAGCTATGTATTGACGTTCCTGTTTGCTAATTGTTGGCTGCAACCAGGGCAAGTACGGCACGCTAATGTCGGCGATGAATATATCCCATGGCGGACACACGAGGGATATGCAATTGTTGGGTTAGGAAATGATGAAAAAGGATACTAGCGCTGAGTATGAAGTTTGCAGCACAACGTTGGCAGTGTATCAACGGGTTAAAGTTAGTAACAACATTGAGGTAAGAGGTCGCATCGAACAGCACGCTTACCGAAGGCCGCACTAGAACATGCAAAGACGCGCTGAGCTGGGCCACCATGCATGTATACCGCCATGTACCTTGTTCTCGAACACTCTGGCCAACATTCCTTCGTATGCAATCCCAGGATCCGCGGTTGCGTATACGATTTGCCGGTACACGGAATGACGCGACTAAAGTCGAGTCAGACAGTCTCTCCAAGCTCGGTTTTTGTGCTAGTTCAATCGATTGTCCTGTCGGATATCCGCGATCCCATGCCTTAGTAAGAGACACGCAATAAGCAAGTGAGTGGATCAAACCGTGTTGTCTAGTCGTATAGAGGCAAAAGCGCCACAAGAAGTACCACCTTGCCTTACCTGAAGGAAAAGGAAAGGACCAAGCGTTGTTTTCGACACATGTGGCACAGAAAACCGACCCCACAGCCTCGGTCCGGTGTGCAGGATATTGCAGGTATGGCAATATACAGACTGACGCAAGTATCAGTTCAATCCCGTCCAGCCCCAAGATGCTACATGCGATTGCGAAAGCAGCTATACCAGTTGTGATGCGGCACTGAACCTGCATATTGTTGCATCGGAATTTCCCATTCGATAAATCGCACACATTGCCGTGCCGCTGGATGGAAAATAGTACCAGCGACGGTGCAAAGGGCGTCCGAGTTGTCCCGCTGGTAGGCTCGCTTGTAGGCGTGCATTGCGAGCTTATGTCTTGGCAACATCAGACGGGATACTCGCATGAATATGGCCTAGCGCTGGAGTGTAAACAGCGCAGCTTTGGTTGAATGTGGAGATGCTTGGCGGGGCATTGATGACCAGTATATATCTAGACCAGCGCTTACAAGGAAGACGCAACCAGGCTGTCGGTGAGAGATGCGGGTGCATATCCGGCCATGGGTGGCTTCGGGTAGTAGCATGTGGTGAAGCTGACTCTTGTGCCGATCGAAGCGCCTCCATTGAGCGGCATCCTTGCTGTAGAGTCATGGGGAGATGGGTTCCAGGTACGGGCCTGATATCATGAACGGCTTCAAACATGGTCGATACTCTAGCGGGCAGATGCAGATGACGGCAGCCGTGGAGCTAAGCATGCAGTAAGCGTCGACCGGGCCTGGTACAAACAAGAATACAAAGAACGGACAGGTACGGAGGGCGGGAGGGTCGGAGCCGGGCGAGGCATTTTGACGGTATTGGCAAAGGCGAGATGGAAGAGTGGAGTAGCTGTCCCAACGAGGTGGAGATGGAGGGTGGCTGAGTCGAGATTGCCAGGGCGACTAAGATACTGTCGTGTGACGGTAAGTCAGGCACTGCTTGGCGCACAACACCACCAGAGGCGTTATCAGTCGGCCAATCCCCATGGCTAAGAGCATTCCACGGCCTTTGATTCCAATGCAGGGTAAATCTACTCAAGATGATGATCCGGAACGAAGACTACTTCATCGCCCCCAAGGGCCGCTGCTATCGCTGGTACAACAAACCCCACCATGTTCCATCTACACAGGCGACACCCATAGCGGACGGCCCCAGAACCAACGACTCAAGCCGTTTGCTACAACTACCGCGAGAGCTTCGTGATGAGATATGGGAGCTGGTCTTCAACTCGACGAGGCTGACATTTGGCCTGCAATATACACCCCGCTATGGCGAGCGGTACCTCAAGCCTGCCCCACATTCGCTCGCACTATTACGCGTATGTCGCCAGATCAATGCTGAGACACGTGACATCTGGATGCAGCGCGTGCTCTTCAACTTTGAGGACCCCCAGACCATGCTCAACAGGCTGTCGGACCTGCCAGAATCTACCGTGTCGAGGATCCGCCATGTTCGCCTCATCGGCTCCCCCATGATGCGCTATCTCAAAGGCTTTGATGATCTCATGTACCGACACGAGTCCATTTTCCAGCTACTGCCTACACTCCGGCTTGACTGCTTGACCATCTTTGCAGTTGCCGCGGCTGCACCAGAGTACGATGCTATCACCAACCTGGTCAACCGTGGCAATGGGTGGAAGGAACTTCGATACATTACTCGTAGCTCACGCATGCTTGGATTCGGTCCCTCCAGGAGTCATGGATCTCGCGAGACTGGCGACATCTGTCGTCAGCCTCAGCCGAGATTCTGGAACAAGAGACTGTTGAACAGAGACGGCGAGGGTTCGGGCTCTGTTGTTCAGGTGTTCAGGGCACTAGAAGAAGACGACGTCACTGCTGTTCTCGATCCACTTAGGCGCGAGCCGTTTGAGCAGAACCCAGAAGAGCATCTGGTCAAAGGGTTCGGCCGAGTGGATGACGAAGGGCTGACAAGGGGGGCCGGTGCACGAAGAGCCTTACTTGTTGTGGTGAAGCGCGGCGACAGCATAGACGTGAGCCAAAAATCTCCAGGTTACGGCAAAGAGCGCGACATGAAAGCGAGGTTCAAAAAGAGAACCTGGCGAGTGCGAAACAAAATCATTGTTTGGACGTCTCCAGATAGTGAACGAGACGATGATGAAGTGGGCAATGGATGGGCGAGACCCCAACTCCGCCGGCCCCCTTATGGCTTTGACAACTACTACGATATCGACGACATGTGAAGCGCACGGGATGAAATGTCTTTGCTATATGTTTTTCGGGTGTTTAGGAATTATGAAGTTTGTCCACTTCTTAGGTTGAAACAGGACAGCATGATGGTATACGCGGTACCCCAGGACTCACGACAGTACCTAACTACCATGGCGAGACGCATGGAGTGGAACGATTATGCTACAGCTCTGCTCAACCTTTGGACGCATCAGATAGCTGTTATGGGGAGTCACGCCTATTGACCAGGTACAAGACCCCATGTGAGTTGGCATCAAAGAAGGCTCGGGCCGGGGGTAGGATCACTGGATGGTCCGCACAATGCGAAATGGTCCGCGGGTAGCTTATCAGAGATGCTTATTTTCAAAAAGGACACGAACTCTTGGTTTTAGGGCGGCGTTGATGGACCTGGCGCAAAAGGGTGAGTTGTTGTTCCAAGCATGCTTGGGCTAAACAGAACTGCTAGTGTTTCCATCATGTACACGCTACAACATGTTGTTGATCACTTGTTGTTGTTGTTGTCTTACTCTCGGAAATGGCCGTGCATGGACCGATCTGGCAGTGAGAAAAACTCTGAATATAACCGTTCTATCTCTTTAGATAAGCAGCAAGTCACTGTTAAAACAGATGCGTGCAAAGTCAGCGACGATGTCTCACAAGGGCTTTTGAATTCGGATGGGCCTTGCGGGTCGGGATAGGTTTACTGTCTCACTGATTCTTTACACCGATCATGTCCTACAACTACTATCTGCAGTGTCTATGCCCAGGGCAGATGACTCGAATGAAGTCGTGTATGCTGAGGTCTCAGCTGAGCTATCCATACGATCATCGTATCTGGGTAAATGCCGCAGCCTCATGATATGACCCACTGGCGAACCAAAAGCAGATCATCAACGCATGAAGCCGATTCCGATGCTTACGCTCTTGGTATGTTCCACGTGCTTGACGCCTTTGAGCGAGACTTTCCCGTATTGCATCAGTCCCGAGCTGTATGAACAAGCCACTATTGCCCATTGCCTGTACTGTAGGGTTGTCTTGGCCAAGACATCTAGACCACCTGATAAATCCCGCTCTCTGTCTAAGGGGTATCCTTGCCGTCGGCTTCAACATGACGATTACACGTTTGGTGGTTTGGACGATCCTAAGATATGCTAAAGTGTCCCGCAAAGCCGTGGCCAATTGAAGAAGAAAGCATGATGAAGATTATGGGGTGGCAGAAGTTAGGTTTGCTATGCATATGGGGAAAGGGTGGGGGTTCTGTAGCGAAGCAAGGATTGATTACTGCGCTACACTGGGCACTTGGCCAATTACCGTGATGAAAAAACGCCCCGTGGAGACCAGTTGCGAAGGCCGGGAGTCGGCCGCGAAGGTTGAACAACGAACAGCGCTAGGCATGCGAGTACGTACCTATGTGCCTATGTACCTATGTACACACGTGTATCTGTATGCTGTACTTGATGAAGATGATGTATTTGGCAATGCGCCTGTTGCCACAGGGTGCAACGCCTCCCTTTGACGCAATCTCATTGGCTCCCGTCCAGCGCCACCGGCCGCTTATCTTGGCAGCCCTCTCTCGACATGACCTTTTCGAGCCAAACAAATCATGATTAATTAGCCCCGTTCTTAATTGCCATGGGCGCGCCTTCTGAATCTCGCACTCGCGGGGTTCTGTTCGACTGCATTGCGCCATCTGCCAGACAGTCGTCTCATCACACCTCGGTCCGGTCTGCGCGTATTCACTGTGGCAACCATCGCGCTGCGCGGTTGCAGGCGCGCCTTTCATTGCGCTCATCCGTTGGTTCCGTCTGAGGTTGAGCTGAGATCCGGATCGCTGCTGCGCGCCCTCCAGTCTCTCTGCCTGGGCGACGATGCCGAAGGCTGCTTTCCACGTATCAAAGTGCTGAACGTCCCCGTCGTCCCCATCCGTACATTACACTAGGTGCGCAATACAAGCTCGCTCCATGAACGTATTCGATACTTGACGACAACTGTCCTATTGGCTGGCAATATAGCGCACCAGCAACATTACCGCCAAAACCATCACTATGTCAGAGGTAGAGTCCCCCCCCAAAGCATCCAGCTCCCAGCTGAATCAGCCATGTACCCTGGCCGAGGCTAACATTACGAAGAGCGGAACTTCGCCAGACCGCGACGGCATTCATGCCTCGAATGGTCGGGCCTATGATAAGTATCATTTCCAAGAAAAAAATATCCACTCGCACGGCATTGAGCTGGATGACGATGAGGATGAAGACATTGACCAGCTCATCGAGGATCTTGAATCGCAGGATGGCGAAAATGCCGACTACGAAGAAGAAGAAGTGCAACAGCCAGGTGGTGCTCGCCTCATTCCAGAAGAGCTTCTCCAGACCGACACACGCATCGGCCTTACATCGGCCGAGGTTCTCATACGGAGGAAAAAGTATGGTGAGAACAAAATGAAAGGTTACTTACTCTGCCCCTGTCACTTACCCCTGTCCGCTAACAAGGCGTAGAGGAGAAGACGAACAATTGGGTCAAATTTCTCCTGTTTTTCGTTGGTCCGATTCAATTCGTCATGGAGGCAGCCGCCATCCTTGCCGCCGGTCTCCAAGATTGGGTTGACTTTGGTGTCATCTGTGGATTATTGCTCCTCAATGCAAGCGTTGGCTTCATCCAGGAATATCAGGCTGGATCCATCGTCGAAGAGCTAAAGAAAACGCTCGCTCTCAAAGCCACTGTACTACGCGATGGCACCTTGGTCGAGATCGAAGCACCAGATCTCGTACCCGGAGATATCCTACAGGTCGAGGAAGGTGTCATCGTCCCTGCAGATGGACGCATTGTCACCGAAAATGCTTTTATACAAGTTGACCAATCTTCCATCACTGGCGAATCCTTGGCCGTCGACAAGCATCGAGGAGATACCTGCTATGCTTCTTCGGCAGTAAAACGCGGTGAGGCTTTTGTCGTCATCACAGCCACAGGCGACTCTACTTTTGTTGGTCGTGCTGCTTCTCTCGTTGCTAGCGCGTCAAGTGGACCCGGTCATTTCACCCAAGTGCTACAGGACATCGGCACAATACTGCTAGTTCTTGTCATTGTGTCACTCCTAGTAGTCTGGATAAGCTCCTTCTACAGGTCCAACCACATCATCACCATCCTTCGGTTCACGCTTGCTATCACCATCGTCGGAGTACCTGTCGGTCTTCCTGCTGTTGTTACAACGACAATGGCTGTTGGCGCTGCATACCTTGCCAAAAAGCAAGCCATTGTACAGAAGCTCTCCGCTATTGAGTCGCTTGCTGGTGTTGAAATTTTATGCTCCGACAAGACCGGGACATTGACAAAAAACAAACTTTCATTAGCTGAACCTTACACCGTACCTGGTGTCGACCCAGAAGACCTCATGCTTACTGCTTGCTTGGCCGCTTCGCGCAAGAAAAAAGGCATCGATGCTATCGACAAAGCGTTTCTCAAGTCTCTGCGAAACTACCCACGTGCTAAGTATGTCTTGAGCAAGTACAAGGTCATTCACTTCCATCCTTTCGACCCGGTGTCCAAGAAGGTCCAGGCCGTTGTTGAGTCGCCGCAGGGTGAACGTATAACATGCGTCAAAGGTGCTCCACTGTTTGTCCTTCGAACGGTTGAGGAAGACCATCCTATTCCCGAGAACGTCGATCTGGCATATAAGAACAAAGTTGCTGAGTTTGCTTCTCGAGGCTTTCGCTCGCTTGGTGTCGCCCGTAAACGAGAGGATGAAGGATGGGAAATTCTTGGGATAATGCCGTGCTCAGATCCTCCGCGACATGATACTTACCGAACCATCAATGAGGCCAAGTCTCTGGGTCTGTCAATCAAGATGCTAACTGGTGATGCTGTTGGAATTGCGCGAGAGACTTCGCGTCAGCTTGGTCTTGGTAAGTGCGCAATCGAGACTACGATGGATCAATCTAACACAATCATAGGCACAAACATTTTCGATGCGGAGAAGCTTGGCCTGAGTGGAGGTGGCGAGATGCCTGGTTCAGAGTTTTATGATTTCGTTGAAGGTGCTGACGGTTTTGCTGAGGTGTTTCCGCAACACAAGTTCAACGTCGTTGAAATCTTGCAACAAAGAGGCTATCTCGTTGCAATGACTGGCGATGGCGTGAATGACGCACCATCGCTGAAAAAGGCAGATACTGGAATCGCCGTTCAAGGCGCGTCTGACGCGGCTTGTTCGGCTGCTGACATTGTGTTCCTTGCCCCTGGCCTCTCAGCCATCATCGATGCTCTGAAGACATCACGGCAGATTTTCCATCGCATGTACGCTTACGTTGTATATCGAATTGCCCTCTCGCTTCACCTCGAAATCTTCCTCGGCTTATGGATTGCCATACTAAACGAATCTCTGAACCTTCAACTGGTTGTGTTCATCGCCATTTTTGCCGATATTGGTAAGTAGTCCATACGCAACTGTCTGATTGGCTATTAACCGTACTGCAGCAACTTTGGCTATTGCCTATGATAATGCACCATACAGCAAGACCCCAGTCAAATGGAACCTACCCAAGCTCTGGGGCATGTCAATTCTGCTGGGTGTCATTCTCGCCGTGGGAACATGGATCACCATGACAACCATGATTCCTTACCTTACTGGTGAGCAACAAGGTGTCAATGGTGGTATCGTTCAGAATCATGGACAGCGTGATCCAATCCTGTTCCTCGAGATCACATTAACAGAAAATTGGCTAATATTCATCACTCGCGCCAATGGCCCCTTCTGGTCGTCGGTCCCTTCGTGGCAGCTTGCGGGTGCCATTCTCGTCGTGGATGTACTTGCAACATGCTTCACGATATTTGGATGGTTTGTTGGTGGGAGGACCAGCATTGTTGCTGTGGTCCGTGTATGGGCCTTTTCTTTTGGTATTTTCTGCATCATGGCAGGAGTTTACTACGTTTTGCAGGGGAGCCAAGGGTTTGACAATCTCATGCATGGAAAGCTGCTCAAGCGAAAACAGAAGCAGAGAAACCTTGAAGACTTTGGTAAGTACTAATCGGAACTTTACAAAGTAGCAGTTACTAACATGTTGTAGTCGTTTCGCTACAGCGAGTGTCAACGCAGCATGAGAAGACAACGTAGGATATTTGTTCTCCTAAACTCACGCGCGATCGACTATAGTCTGGCGTTACGCTGCCTTGAGTAGGCCATCCGCGGCATAGATACGTTTTCGTTTTCTCCTTCTAGTCTATGCGACTAAAGTGTTGATGAGGAACACACGTATTTCAGTCTTGTTTTCATTACGCATCTCACGGTGTTAACATAAATACCCAGAGTCAAGGGGGGGAAGTCTTTCAGGAATTCCTAGTTTTTGCCTTGTCTATTACAGTGCAAGCATGGCTTCTGCAAGAGCCACGTCGCCGAAATTAATTTTTTTCCATCGTTAAAGGCATGCCATTTTCCGTTGCTGGTGTTTATACCAGGCTCTCGATGTCGCTATGAAAGATTAAAGAGTGCATCTTGACAATTGCGACAGCTCGGGGGATATATCTGCGTCTACTCGCACGAGAAAACAATACGCTTTTGTAAGCGAAGTGGATTCGGATCACGGTAATGGCAATGGCGTCACCTACCAGCGATAATGAACCCCACATTTGGTATTGTAACAACATGCGTACCGGGCCGGACCCTGCCGGTTACGTGTGCTAACCCCGCAATTGCCCACTACTAGAACTCCTTCATGCTCAAGATTCTTCGAAACTGTGCAATCACCGGCTATCAATCCAAGTCTCGTCACAGTCCAGCTATTTTCTTCACTCAATTCCACGAATCACGAGCACAAACCTTTGCAAGGATGGCCGATCTCAACGTAACCATCCCGAAGCTGAAACTCAATGACGGCACCTCAATGCCTATGCTGGCATTCGGTACAGGAACCTCTTGGTACAAGTCTGGCGATGAGAGTAAGATTGATCAAGCAATCATTGACGCTGTAAAGATCGCAATTAAGTTGGGATATACTCATCTTGATGGCGCAGAGAGTATATGCTGAGAATCCCTCTCTATATCCATATCTTCCTAACGACTGACAGTGTACAAGACCGAACCCGAGCTTGGGACCGGTATCAAAGAGAGTGGTGTTCCCCGCGAGAAGCTCTTCGTGACTACCAAAGTGAATGACGGCAACATCAACAACATTGAAGGAGCGATCAAAGCTAGCTTACAAAAACTGCAGTTGGAATATGTTGATCTGTAAGGAATTTATAGCACTCGGACATTTATTTGACGCTGACTGATCAAGCTATCTCATCCACCAACCCTGGTTTGGCAGCTCAGAGGCCGATCTCCAAAAGGCCTGGGCTGACATGGAGGCAGTCCAAGCCGCAGGCCTTGCCAAATCCATTGGTGTCTCCAACTATCTCCCCGAACATCTATCAGCCATACTGAAGACTGCCAAAGTAAAGCCTGTGTGCAACCAAATCGAATTCCATCCTTACCTTCAGCACGAAAAACTTCTGGAATTCCACAAGCAGAACGGCATCGCTACCACCGCCTATTCACCTTTGACAGCAGTTACCAAAGCAAAGGGTGGCCCTGTAGATGAGTATGTAGAAGCGCTGACCAAGAAGTATGCCGTGAGCGAAAATGAGATCTACCTGAGGTGGTGCATCGATCAAGACATCGTACCGATCACGACCAGTAGCAAGGAGCAACGTCTGAGTGACTACTTGCGGGCGCTGACCTTCAAATTGACGCCAAAAGAAGTAAAGGATATCAACGAGTTGGGCCAGAAGAAGCACTATAGAGGTTTCTGGACTCACAAGGTGGGTTTGATCTACATAATTGAACTGGAATTGCAAGCTAATTTCCTGTTTAGCTTGCCGCTGATGATCGATCGTGAGCTTTTTAAAGGAGATGGCCTAAGTATAGGCATTGTTTCTAATGGAGTCTATGTAAAAAGAATAACATGCAAGACGTCAATAGCCTGCGTGCAACTCAGCTTGCAGGAGGGCATTCGGTCCAGTGACATCAATCCTAGAGAACTTGAATCTGTTCGTATAATACATGAATGTTATTGTGTATGTAATCTCTATTCTCTTATTGTCTACTTATGACTCTTGCAAGTGAATTGAAAATGATTTTGCTCACATGTCGTTTGCCGTGAAGTCATGTTATCAATGCAAGTCAGCACCGCGGTGCCAAGACGGCCCGCTCAATCTTTCCGCGCGAGCTTACCAGCTTCAGGCTGCACGTCCATTTCTCGCCCTTCTGCCCCCTCGCATCACCAAACGCGACCTCTGTCTACGTGCAGGACACAGCGCAGATTCTTGCGAATACACGGGGATTCAACGCCGCGCCGCGTAATCATCGCCATCATGTCGGGCGCCACTGCAAAGGGCAAGAAGCAGGCGAACAAGAACGCCTATCGCCGTGCGAAGAAGAAGCAGCAGCGCTCTGTACGTGTCGCATGTCTGTTCCATCGCGCATCACGAGTCAATTTGCTAACAGCCTTGAAGGAGACACCGTCGACAGCCGGCGACTCTGCGCGTGAGAGCGAATCTCCCGCACCCGAAAGCGACACAAATAACGAAGCACAGGCTGTGAAGCCCGCGGACCTACTTTCCATCGATGATATCGCGAACCAGTACAACCTCGACGATCCACTCTTCGAAGAATACAAGAATGTCTTCGAAAAGTTCAGGGAGCCGACCGACGAGGAAGCGGCGACCAAGGACGATGAAAAGCCAGAGATCTACCACTCCGACGACGACATCCCTGACGAGGATGAAGACGATGGCAAGCCCAAGCTCTCTAAGAAGCAGAGAAAGCAAATGAACAAGCTTTCGGTCGCGCAGCTCAAGGCATTGGTTCCCCGACCAGAACTGGTCGAGTGGACGGACGTGTCATCATCGGATCCCCAGCTACTAATCTCCATCAAGGCAGCCAAGAACGTCATACCCGTACCCTCTCACTGGTCGCTCAAGCGTGAATATCTGTCGTCCAAGCGAGGTATCGAAAAGCCACCCTTCACCCTACCCAAATTCATCCAAGAAACAGGTATTGCAGAAATGCGAGATGCGGTCTTGGAAAAGCAGGCAGAGATGACTATGAGGCAGAAACAGCGAGAGCGTGTGCAAGGAAAACTCGGCAAGCTTGACATTGATTATGCGAAGCTCTACGATGCCTTCTTCAGACGGCAGACCAAGCCAGAGCTGACCCGATACGGCGAGGTCTACTACGAAGGCAAGGAATTCGAAACGAACCTTGTAAACCTCAAGCCAGGCGAGTTGAGCGAGGAACTTCGCGAGGCACTTGGAATGGCACCTGGTCACCCGCCCCCTTGGCTCATCAACATGCAACGTTTCGGCCCCCCACCATCGTATCCCAACATGCGCGTACCTGGTGTCAATGCCCCAATTCCTCCGGGCTCCTCTTGGGGTTTCCAACCTGGTCAATGGGGAAAGCCCCCCACAGATGAAGCAGGTAAGCCACTCTTCGGAGGAGATCTCTATGGCACTGCTATTTTGGAGGAACAACAGCAACCGACACATGTGGGTGAACCCGTCGAGCGTGGTATTTGGGGAACGCTTCGAGCTGAGGGTGAGAGTGAGGATGAGGAAAGTGAAGAGGATGATGAGGACGAAGATGAGGACGAAGACGAAGATGAGGACGCGAGTGGTATACAAACATCCATGACTAGTGCATCGGCTATGCCATCTGAGATTGGGGGCGCAGAAAGCATCAGTGGAGAGTTTCAGCTCAGGAAACAGCGCAAGGGGATCGAGACGGAAGAGCCAGGTGCGCCGCGAAGTGCATACACAGTGCTTCCAGAGAAGAACATATCTGCGACTGGCTTCTTTGGTGGTGAACACGCTTACGATCTGGATGCGGCTAGGCGCGATGCGCTTGGCCACGCTCAGAAGAAACGCAAAGCTGGAGATATCGACGTATCTGTTGATATTGACCAGTTGGCGGACAGCGACAAGCTGGACAAGGACGCACTAAAGAAAGAGTACGAGTCTAGGCAGCGTGCTGAGGCACAGGGACAGTGGCAGAGTATCGACCAAGACGATCTAGCAGATATGATCAACCAGGAAAGCAGGAAGAGGACTAAGAGGGAGGATGAGCGAAAGACTAGGCGCTAGGTCTGCACTGTCAAGAGTCCATTGGGGACATGAATTTTGTACAAAAGATCCAGGATTGCACTTTCAGGGGCTCCATGAGAGAGCTGGCGTCACGGATGTCACGGGTCAATAGGGCTTCGGCATACTCAGCATTGGAAAACGGCGTTATATGCGGCAACCAAGTGTGCCCACAGATGAGTATAATCAAGATGAAGATTTTCAATATTCGAGGCACAGCAATGGACAGGGATGACACGGTGACTATGGATACGAACTTCCGCTACGCCACGATTGACGCACCGAAGACGCGAACGGCAAAGCAAAGGGGGCAGAACAAAGCAGCCAATAGTTGTGAGTTGACACCTTTTGCCAAACTCAACATGAGAATGCTTGAAATGTTGAGATGTGCCAAACGGCAGTTGAGTCAACAAATTTCTCGAAAATCAAGTGATACACCTTCACGTCTGGAAGAATGGTAGGGTGGCGATTATCGCACACGTACGCGCCACACACGACCATCACTCTCGTCTCCTTGATTACATGTCCCGAGGAAGAGCGGAAAAGGAAAGAAGAGCTGAAATTTGCAGGCAGCCATTCATTGTCGATGCGAGGGCCAGAGCTTGACACGCTATCAGCCACAATTCAGCCTATAGCACGTGACCCGCCAACGCGTTCAGTTGCAGTGGGCTTGGCTTTGAACTTCACTTTTTGCAGACCCAACACACAGGACGCCAAACACTCCCCGCCGCTCCACCACCGCGACCGTCAATTACAAACTCATACTCATTCTTTTCAGTCTATCCGGACATTTCTACTATTTACGATACGTCCAGCGCATTACTTTTGATTCCGAAATGGACAGGGATCGCGAGCGAGATCGTGATCGTGATCGAGGAGACAGAAGGTTTGTCAACACCATGCTGTCGCTTGTACACTGATGGATGGCATACGGGCTTGTTCGGTCTTTGATAATGATTGGAAGCGCCACTGCTAACGTAGGGTTAGAGACGATAGGTATTCAAACACATACCGTCCACGTTCCCCCGGGCCACGCCCACGCTCTCCGCGCGGAGACAGCTATCGTGCTCGCTCACCTCCCTTCCGTCGAGCAAGTCCGCCTCGCCGTAGCTCTCCACCTCGTCGCGGTATAGCCTCCGCCGATACCTACGTCCCTGGGGGCCGCTCTTCCCGTCCGCGAAGCCGCTCGCCTGCGTTCCGAAGAAGGTCACGAAGTCCACGTCGCGACGACAACTGGAGGGCACGACCTCGGTCTCCTCCTCGTCGAGGATTCTCACCCAGACGTGATGACTACAGAAACGACAGGCCAAGATCACCGCGACGGGACCGGGATCAATACGATTCGTACGCTCGTTCTCCACGGCCACGCGAAAGGTCGCCATTACCTCTGCGAGAACGTGATGTGTCTCCAGCAAGGAGCCGGGGGATGCGCTCACCTATTCGCTCAAGCCGATATGAAGAGCCACGTTCCCGGGTGAATAGGTACGTTTATAACTCCTTACCAAATAGAACAATTCGCTTACCAACTTGAAGCCCTCCCCCACGACGGTACTCTCCGCCACGAGACTATAGGCGCAGATCACCTTCGTTGAGACGCGAACGCCCCGACCCTTATACTGCCGATACTTGGAGGAGTCGTAGGTCTCCTTCTCCAGCGCGGCCAACCTACACTTCAAATGAGCCATCGGGCAGAGACTCTGCCGCTACCTCGCGCCGCTCTTCCCCACCACCTATCCATCCCAGTCGGGCCGCACTCGTAGAAGAACTCCCTGTCAGAGAACCTGCTTCAGCACCAAGATCACCCTTTCGAGAGCGGCTTCCGGACAGGGGCCGAGACTTTAGTCGTGAGCGAGAACGGTCCCCCCCACGCCGCAGAGAGAGTCCTCCGACTGGGCCGCGTGGGGACCGAGACTTTGCGCCTCCAACAGGCCCTTCTTCATCATATCGCAATGGTGAAGGCAACTTTGCTAGAGCGCCGCCAACTGGCCCTTCCAGTCGCAGCTATCCTTCGCCTGCCATATCCCCACCAGCTGGACCATCAAACTCAGCAGCACCTCCTCCCGCATTTCCTCGAGGAAGCAACCCCGTTTTAGCGGCTCCAACGCGGCCACGCGGTGGAGGCCGCGGTTTCGGTGGGTACGAAGGACGAGGAGATTTCTCTGGATCCTCTTCACGTAGAGGGTCATGGGGCGCAGGACCTCGGGGAGGCTACTATGGTGGCGCACCATCCGGTCCTCGTGGTAGCAGCAGCGGTCCCGGTGGAGCAGCGCCTTTTGCACCCTCTTTCCGCGGCTCAAACAACTCCACCGCTACAACATATCCACGCACAATGCGCTTCCGTGATCATCTAGCCGATCTACCCAAGGAAATTCCTGGAGGCCAGAAAGCCCCTGAGATGTACGACAAGAGTAAGATTCTGAAACTAGAAGCAGAGGCACAGAAGCTCAGGGAGTTGATTGACAAAAAGGAGGATGCAAAGAGGCAGAAGCTGAGGGAGTGGGATGGTCTTGAACGTGAAGCTGAGACGGCTCAATTGAAGGTGGATTTGGCTGAAAGCTCGCTGAGAGGTCTCACTGGCGAAGCAGATGTGCGCGACGCCTTCTAGCTGGAGCTCCGTTCAGAATCTGAGGGTTGGGAGCATATCAGTAATGCTTGACAGAGGTTGCAAAAGGCCGGGATGTGCCTGAGTGACTATACATGGGGGATATATGAGATGATCTGTAGCTACACGCAGTTGGTCAGAGGATCGGGTGGCTTGTACGATATTGCAGAACCATAGTTATCGAGGAATATGATCTATGCATACATCTCTAGTTGCTTGTTGGTGACAAAGTATATATGTGAGTGTGGAATTCTGAAATCTTGTATTAGAATGATGAGAGCATTTTTGAACCACCATGTGTCTTTCGATCCTTCCTGTGCAGTTAACGTCGCTCTTGTGGTCATGATGTATATGCGGTCACTCACATAGTCCGGCTAGATGAATCTACTGCGGATTACCGATTGGTCAGGATTGATTCTCCACCTGCATGTCTGACTCGCCGAACGCCAAATTGTTGCAGCAGCTCTAACAAACTCACCAACCCTCCTCCAACTTCCGCTCCCCTGCTCTACTGTCGCAAATATGGTGGGCAAAAAGGTACAAACACTGGCGCACAAATGGTCGTATATAGCTAACATGTGCAAAGGAAGTTGCGACCCCCAAGCCCAAAGCTGCCCCGCGCGGGGCGACAAAGGCGAAGGTTGCGCCTGGCGCACCCGAAGTCCAAAAGGTTGATGGCGGCGATTCCATGGAGATTGATTCTGAGGGCGCCAACCCTCGAGCGAATGCTGGAGGTAGTGCGACAGATCTCAATCCTGGGGCTTCTACGTCAGCAGATCAGACGCGAAAGCGACGAGCGCCACTCACCCACGCGAAAGACGAGTTTGCCGCTCTTCTCGAGCCTTTCTACTACGGCAAGAGTCTGACCGACCCGATCAACACCGCACGCGACAAATGGAATCTACTCCCAGCCTTTTTGAAGACCAAGGGTCTTGTGAAACAGCACGTTGACTCTTACAACCACTTTGTCGATGTCGACTTGAAGAAGATTATCAAGGCCAACCGTTTCGTCCGTAGCGACTTCGACCCCAAATTTCTCCTCGAATACACGGACATCCGCGTACTGTCTCCGAATCGGCAGGAAGAAGATGACCTCGAGCATCATCGTAGCACCATTACACCCAACGAATGCCGGTTACGTGACATGACATATGCTGCACCGATAGTAGTGGATATTATATACACTAGGGGAAACGCTAAGGTCAAGCGGACGGGAATCAAGATTGGCAGGATGCCCATTATGTTGAAAAGTAACAAATGTGTACTTGCTGGCAAGAACGATCGCGAAATGGCTGTCATGGAGGAGTGTCCGCTAGATCCAGGAGGCTACTTCATCACGCGTGGACAAGAGAAGGTTATCCTTGTCCAAGAGCAACTGAACAAGAATCGAGTCATTGTCGAAAGTGCAAAGGGAATCATGCAAGCCAGCGTTACGAGCTCTACCCACGAGAGGCGGACGAAGACATATGTCATCCAAAAGAAAGGGCTCATGTACCTTCGACACAACACTCTTTCTGAAGAGATTCCAATCGTGTTCGTCATGAAAGCCCTAGGAGTTCATTCCGATAAAGAAATTCTTCTCATGATTGCCGGAGAAGATAGTGCATACCAGGACAATTTTGCCATCAACTTCGAGGCGTGCGCAAGGGAGCAGATTCATACACAAGAAAGAGCTCTGGAATATATTGGCCACCGCGTACGGCTAGTCAAAAAGCCCCTTGGTACCTCGCGCAACAGGAACTACCACCTTGAGGCAATTGAATGTCTATCAAATGTTGTCCTTCCCCACGTCCCGGTCGAGGGCACAAATTACCGGCCCAAGGCACTATACGTAGCTCTCATGGCTCGGCGAGTTCTGATGGCGATGCAAGACCCGAAACTGGTAGACGACCGCGACTATGTTGGCAACAAACGTCTCGAACTGTCTGGCCAGATGTTGTCCCTTTTGTTTGAAGATCACTTCAAACGCTTCAACCACGATTTCAAGCTGAGCATCGACAAAGTTCTTAAGAAGCAAGTTAGGGCGCAGGAGTTTGATGCCTTTTCTCACTTCAGCGTGCATAAGAACCACATCACCATGGGCGTCGAGCGCGCGATTGCTACCGGAAATTGGAGTTTGAAGCGTTTCAAGATGGAGCGGGCCGGAGTCACGCACGTCTTGAGCAGACTCAGCTACATTGCTGCATTGGGTATGATGACGAGAATCAGTTCGCAGTTTGAGAAAACTCGCAAGGTCTCTGGCCCTCGAGCGCTTCAGCCGTCGCAATTTGGTATGCTTTGTACTTCTGATACCCCAGAAGGAGAGGCTTGTGGTCTAGTCAAGAACCTGGCACTCATGACGCATATCACAACCGAAGACGATGATGATCCAGTCCGCAAGATTGTATTTATGCTGGGTGCTGAGGATATTTGTTCACAAACAGGAGAAGAGATTCACGCTGAGGGTGTTTATAGTGTCTGTCTCAATGGTACGCCTATTGCTGTTACAGACACTCCAAAGCGATTCCTCAACAGCTTCCGGAAACTCCGACGAATGGGACGCATTTCTGAGTTCACCAGCATTCACATCGACCATGATCACTGCGAAGTCCACATCGCGACTGACGAAGGGCGTATCTGTAGGCCAATGATAATTGTTGAGAATCAACATTCAAAGGTTACTTCGCGGTACTTGAAAGCGCTTCGCAAGGGTACCATGGAGTTTGAGGATTTCCTGACAAGAGGTCTCGTAGAGTACCTCGACACCAACGAAGAGAACGATACCAACATCGCCCTCAAAGAAAGTGAGATCAACCAACACACTACGCATCTTGAGATTGAGCCCTTTACCATTTTGGGCGCTGTCGCTGGTCTCATTCCTTATCCTCACCACAACCAATCGCCTCGTAACACTTACCAATGTGCTATGGGTAAGCAAGCGATTGGCGCTATAGCATACAACCAGTTCAACAGGATAGACACGCTGCTATACCTGATGGTCTACCCGCAACAGCCTATGGTCAAGACGCGAACCATTGAACTCACAAAGTATGACAAGCTTCCAGCAGGTCAGAATGCAACCGTCGCCGTCATGTCATACTCGGGTTACGATATCGAAGATGCTCTCATTCTCAACAAGGCGTCGTGCGATCGAGGATTTGGTCGTTGTCAAGTGTTCAAGAAACACGTCACGCCTCTCAAAACGTACGCCAATAACACTTCCGATCGCATCAACGCTGGCGCCCTTGACGTAGCGAATCCCAACCACCAGGCGATTGGTCAAGATGGTATTGCTCAAGTTGGTGCTCGCCTCGAGGCCGGCGACGCCTTCCTGTTGAAATCGATACCTCAAGATACTGCGGGTCCAGCGTCGAATTTGTACAAAGACAAGCCCGAAAGATACAAGTTGCCCGACTGCAGCTACATCGACAAAGCCTGTATCACAGAAAACGAATCAGGCACAACGCTGATCAAACTACTAATGCGCCAAACCCGTCGCCCAGAACTCGGCGACAAATTCTCATCTCGCCATGGCCAAAAAGGTACAACGGGCCTCATCGTCCAGCAAGAGGACATGCCCTTCAACGACCAAGGCATCTGCCCAGACATCATCATGAACCCGCACGGTTTCCCCTCGCGTATGACAGTCGGCAAAATGATGGAGCTCCTCTCCGGCAAAGCCGGCGTCCTCAACGGCACCCTCGAATACGGCACCGCCTTCGGCGGCTCCACCGTCGAAGACATGTCGCAGATCCTCGTTGAAAAGGGCTTCTCCTACACCGGAAAAGACTACCTTACCTCCGGTATCACGGGCGAAGCCCACCAGTTCTACACCTTCTTTGGCCCCATTTACTATCAGAAGCTGAAGCATATGGTCCAGGATAAAATGCACTCGCGTGCCCGTGGGCCCCGTGCTATCTTGACCCGCCAGCCGACGGAAGGTCGTGCACGAGACGGTGGGTTGCGTCTCGGAGAAATGGAACGTGATTGCTTGATTGCGTATGGTGCGTCGCAGTTGCTGTTGGAGCGTCTAATGATTAGTTCCGATGCGCATAATGTGGATGTTTGTGAGAAGTGTATGTGTCTCCCTCTTTTCCCCCTTTCCCTTCTTCCTACCTCACTCTTTTGGAATGCAAAGCTAATACAGTATACAGGCGGCCAAATGGGATACAGCGGGTACTGCAAACTGTGCGAGAGCGAAAAGGCGATTCGCAAGATTACCATGCCGTATGCGGCTAAGCTTTTGATTCAGGAGCTGGGCAGTATGAATGTCAAGGTGACGATTGGGCTGGAGGATGAGTTTCCGAGGGATGCATGAGGGTGGGGAAAACAAAAAAAAAGTTCGAGGGCATTTTTTTACGGGCGCTGGGGGGGTTTTGTATGCATAGCGTGGCGTTTTATTCATGACGCATTCTTCATTTGACAAGGCAACGGGGACTGTGATTATTGTTTTGTAGCAACATATGATATTTCATTCATGTCATTGATTTCGTAACTGGTCATATATGAATGTAGCCTACTGTACTATGCAATTACACAAATACATGGTCACCCCTTCTCCCTCAATCGCCGACTCCAAACTCTCAACCTATCTCTCGTACTTGGAGTGAGCGGCTGGCCAAAGACTGCTCCGAAAGTAAACATCATGGACAGGATATCAGCAGGCTCTAGATAGCGAGCCACACACAGCCAAAGTTCTGCAGGCATGTAGACTATTCCTGGATACATTGGGGGTCTATGTGACAGGTTCAGCATGTGGGCGAGAGTGCTTGGGGTAAGTTCTGGGGAGAGATTGTGGCGCTGAAAGGTAGGATAAATGGCCAAGGCCAGATTGATCAGGTTACTATTGCCCACATATTCGTAGATTATGAGGAGCAGTTCAGCAGGGAGATCATCGAAAGGATTACCACGGGCAAATGGCCCCGGCGGCGGGGGTGGTGGAGGAGGAGCCCCGGCGGCCGCGGACATGCTCACGTGTTGGCCTGTAGGAATCGAGTACAGAAGCAGCCAGCGCAGGAGCTATAGCTGGAGTCAAGCTGCGGCCTGGTGTGCACAAGTGTTTGCTCAATCGGTATGCGGTTTGCTGGGCGGCTCAACAGCGATAGAGAGTAGCCAACGGTATATATAGCCAGAAAGGAGGTAGGCGAACACAGCGACTAGTGTAATGTATATGGCGACAGGGACGAGTGACTGAGGGAAGATGTTCAGTAGGAAGGGATCAAGAACTACACGAGTCAGACCAGATGATGTGTAAGCATTGAATGGCAACGTACTGATATCTACGTCTACTGCGGGCGGGTGGAGCATCAGTGTGCGATTAGTTGAGTAGTAGGAGGCTGCAGCCTGGAGACGTAGCAACAGAGCCGATTCGTGAGCATCGAAGTCTGCGGCGCCAGTGTCTTTGTGGTCGTCGGGTTGATTCTGTTGACTGTAGCGGACGAGTGAGGCCTTGAGGTCGGGTGTATCAAGCACGTGGTCGAGGGTGTAGGTATCAAGCCAGAAGTCGGTTGGTTGCTAGGGTATGGTCAGGACTGGCCCGTCGAAATGGGGGAAGTGGAATTGGACTCACTGTTGCTGGCCAGCAAAGGCGGATTTCGTATCTGCGCCCGTGGTCGAGGCGGCGGACAAGGTACCAGGACTCGAGACCGCGTGGCGCTGACTCGGTGGGAAAGTCGACGGGAATGCGGGTGGGCAGAATGAAACTGGCGGGCGACAGGGCGCTTGAAGCGAGCGTGTCTATGCTGGGGAGAGCATTGGAGAGGGCTGCAGCTCGGGGGCCGAGGAATATTGTCTTCTCAACGTTTGCGTTCACCGTCCAGGCCAGTGTGACGGTGCAGAGCAGCAGGCGAGCGACGAGGCGCATCTTTGGACGGCAGGACAGGGACTCTGGGGGAGGGCGGGATGGAGATGGCGCATTCTCTCACGTGGGGGATGGCCGGGACAATTGCATGTGCATTGCTGCTGGCGGCGATGCTGGTGTTGTGGCGATGGAGCACAAGAAGAGGAAGAAGAAACTGGCCATGGAGAGGCCGGCAGGTGCAAGGGGAGGTGTGAAGGCATGCCAGTGTGTGCATAGATGTGTATGTCGAGTATGCAGTGCAGCGGTTAGCGCCGTGGCCCGTGGTAGGCCAGGGCCCTCTGCACCCTAAAAGTTCGATTCCGCAGACACAACAACTGCTTCTCCCCCACCCACTGCTCCACTCCACCACCAGCTGCTCCTCGACTTTCTCGCGGACGCCACCCCTGACCGAGCATTTCCATACATCCCCCCCAATTACTATTCCGCAACACATCCAGCCATGAGAGAAGTCATCAGTCTCAACGGTACGTAGCCGCCTATCCTTGCCCACACCCTGGCCGCCCCCCGACTGGTGGGACAGGTCCGCCTCTTTGTTGATGCTGACTTTGTACGCGTCTAGTCGGCCAAGCCGGTTGCCAAATTGCAAACTCTTGCTGGGAGGTGAGTACTTGACAATCCGCTCCGCCGCGCCCTCGAGTCTGCTTTGAGCAGCGAAAAAAAGGAGGGCGCCGGATGCCTTGTGCCTGACCGCCAGTCTGCACTGATGCTGACCAATTGTGCCAGCTCTACTGCCTCGAGCACGGCATCCAGCCCGACGGCTATCTCACTGAGGAGCGCAAGGCTGTCAACGACGACCACGGCTTCAGCACTTTCTTCTCCGAGACTGGTAGGCAGCCGCCCTTGCGCACGCGTCGGATGCACAACTAACTCTCACTGCGCAGGCCAGGGCAAGTACGTCCCCCGTACCATCTACGCCGATCTTGAGCCCAATGTCGTCGACGAGGTCCGCACCGGTGCCTACCGCTCCCTCTTCCACCCCGAGCAGATGATCACCGGCAAGGAGGATGCCTCAAACAACTACGCTCGTGGTCACTACACAGTCGGAAAGGAGCTCATTGACCAGGTCCTCGACAAGGTCCGCCGCGTTGCCGACAACTGCTCGGGTCTGCAAGGTTTCCTCGTCTTCCACTCCTTCGGTGGCGGTACCGGTTCTGGTTTCGGCGCCCTCCTCATGGAGCGTCTGTCGGTCGACTATGGCAAGAAGTGCAAGCTCGAGTTCTGCGTCTACCCAGCGCCCCAAGTCGCCACATCCGTTGTTGAGCCATACAACTCCATTCTCACCACCCACACCACTCTCGAGCACTCCGACTGCAGCTTTATGGTCGACAACGAGGCCATTTACGACATTTGCCGAAGGAACCTCGGTATCGAGCGCCCTAACTACGAGAACCTGAACCGTCTGATTGCTCAGGGTATGTTGCTCCCTTGAATATTTTCCCCACAACATCCTGTTCCTGACTAATCCAATTGCAGTCGTCTCCTCAATCACTGCCTCGCTCCGATTCGACGGTTCCCTCAACGTCGACCTGAACGAGTTCCAGACCAACTTGGTCCCCTACCCCCGTATCCACTTCCCTCTCGTCGCCTACTCTCCCGTCATCTCCGCCGCAAAGGCCGCACACGAGGCCAACTCGGTCAACGAGATCACCAACGCTTGCTTCGAGCCAAACAACCAGATGGTCAAGTGCGATCCTCGCAACGGAAAGTACATGGCTACCTGCCTGCTGTACCGTGGTGACGTTGTCCCCAAGGACACACACGCTGCCATTGCACAGGTCAAGACCAAGCGCACTGTTCAGTTCGTTGACTGGTGCCCTACTGGTTTCAAGGTCGGTATCTGCTACCAGCCACCTCAGAACGTCCCCAACGGCGACCTCGCCTCGGTCAACCGCGCCGTCTGCATGTTGTCCAACACCACGGCTATTAGCGAGGCCTGGTCTGCTCTCTCGCACAAGTTTGACCTCATGTACAGCAAGCGTGCTTTCGTCCACTGGTACGTTGGTGAGGGTATGGAGGAGGGTGAATTCTCCGAGGCCCGTGAGGATCTCGCTGCTCTTGAGCGCGATTACGAGGAGGTTGCTGCCGACAGCCTTGGCGACGACGAGGAGGGTGGCGAGGCAGAGTACTAGATGTCTTGTTGCGTTGCTCGAGCTTGTAGCCAAGAGCAGTTCGGCTGTGCATAGTTGATTGGCATGCTCGTCGCTTGCCACTCGCGCGTATTGTTTTCTAATTCTCTGGCAAGAGAGAGCATATGCCGTTTTGACTTTGACAAGCAGTCGACTTTTGAGGGGAGCTGCTAGCGTGCACTCTTCAGACATCAAGCGATTTGGGTTTAATTGCCCTCTTTCTATGTTACCACTAACCACCTTTTTTAGTAATGGCCAATAAATTGTCAAATGGCATTGTCTTGCAACATTCATTTTCAGTGCTAATCATATTATGATGTTCTTTCGACATGTGAATTATTTTGTGTAAGAAACGTGAATCTATGTGATTGTCATAGTCTAAAAATCATCCTCGTCATCGTCCCTAGCCAGCGCCTTTTTCTCAGCCAATTCCCGAATCTTGTCACCCAGCACCTCGCGACCATAGCGTGAAGCAACCTTGCCTGCCAGATCCAACATTTTGCCATTGGCATCCCGCATTAGGCTTACAATCTCCAGAGCCTTCATACCGTGGTCCTCGCCCGCCAGACACTCCAAGCCAAGTAGCTGCAGTAGCGCGCGATCAATAGCTACCTCGAGTGCACTCAGCGCCGCCTTTTGCGACGGTGTAGGCCGGGTGTGAAGCAGTGTCGATGACAACTGCGAGTGCAATGTCGACGAGAGAATAAACGCCTGTTCATGTTCCTGCTGCTTATCTTCATTCGTCTGCGGCTTCGTTGTTTCATCTTCTTCATCATCGTCCTCGTCATCAGACATGGCACCACCCTTGCGGTTCTTCGCCTTCTTGCTCTTGTCAATTGCACTCGACAGCGGAATCTCAAAGCCAAACTCGGACAAATGCGGGATCGGTGCGCTGGGGTATTGTTCTCTGCCCTTGATAATCATGCAGTGGAACTTACCGTTGCTGCTGCTGTTGTCTGCAGAGGGCGAGGACGCGACGCCAACGGGCCAGTACGATTCTTCTTTTCCGCCGCCGGCGCGGCGCGAGAGGAGCTTCGTGTCGAGCATAGGGACCCAGCGGGCTTGGCCTGTGTTTCTCCATCCAAGCAGTGTTAGGAGGACGCCGTCGGAATCGTAAATGTATGGATCGCCTTCTGCCGAGAAGAAGACTGAAGTTAGTGTGGTGCCCGGGGGTAGGGCAAGGATGTCGGAGTCTTGGTACACAATGTCGTGCTTGATGTTTTCAATCGTGTAAAGGAGCTGTGTGCTAAGGTCGTTTTGGATGGGTCCGTTGCCAATGGTGAGAATGTAGTCTCGCCAGGCTGCACAAGTTACTGCGGGAGAGCTCTTTTGGCGGTACACGCGGATGGGTAGGCCAAAAAGAGAGTATATGCGCACGTAGTTTGTAGAAGTTGTGACGCACACGTAAGAGTCAGACAAGGCAATTGCTGTCACGGACTCTCCTGTCGGCAGGTTGGTCCGCCACTCCGTTCTTGTTGTCCACGTCTCGTGCGGTCGGTAGTAGATCATGGCTTGGTTTCCCTCTCCAGTGCTATTCGGTTGACAGGCGAATAGCGTCCCTTTCTCGTTGAGGCAGGCTTTGTCGTAGAGGAAAATGTCGGTGAAGTGGAAATTGCGAAAGGTATGCTCGTCATAGAACTTCACGGTTACTGTATGGTGATTGCCTTCTTGCTCGACCGTCTCTACGTATCCGGCCAACGAACAACATAGCAGCCGGCGATTACCGCGCCAGGGCGTGCTACCCGGCTGGAAGGGTTCATGAAGTTGGGGACGGAAAAGAGCGGAGCTATATGCACGTCGTTTTGATGCGGGCTCTACGCCATTTGCGAGGTGTCCATTCGAACGCTTCTTTGCCGCATTGATGGCAGGTGCATAGCCTGCGCCGTCATCATCAATGACAAAGTCGTTCATTTCCTCGTCGCCATCTTCTTGTGCTTCATCATCCTGGAACTCGGGGCCTAGAATGTCCTCTAGCGAATCCGGTGTCCCGCTTCTTGGTCGAGGTCGTCCAGGGAGGGTATGGACATTTCCCGCGGTAAGCTTAGCTGGCTGAGGGACACCAGCTCGACCTTCTGATGGATCATGGAAAAAGGGTGCTGAGACGGTGGGCTTCTGGAGCAAGGGGAGTTGCTCCTCAGGGACGATGTCTGTGTGGATGAAGAGTTCGCCTTCGTTGTTGGTGTAGGAGAGTATGTTTTCCGTAGGGTGCCATGCCATTGCCAGAATGGTCGCCTTGAGATGGTCAAACTTGTGGAGTAGCTGTTGGGTCTTGGTATCCCATAGGCAGAGACTGAGATCGCTCGATGTGGTTGCTAACAGAGCGCCATTGGGTGACCATGCTGCAGCCGTGATGTCTGCAGAGTGGCCCGTCTTGAACACTCGCTGTCTCTCCCAGTCATTCGTCGACATGACCTGCATTTGACGCATGGCAGTAGGTGTAGCAAATGCACGTCCATCAGGATGCCACAACACCCTTGAACTAGACTCTGACTCTGTTTCCAGACTCTTAATCATCCCTTCTATCCTCTTGACCATCTCAGGCTCATCTCCATCCAGGTTATACATGTAGACTTGACCGTCGGTGCAGGACACGGCGAGTTGGGTTCCGGTCTTGTCAAAAGAGACATGTTTCACGGCTCGAGACTGGTCGCGCAGGGTTCGCATAGACTTGTTCTTTACGCTTACAACGTTCACAACAAGCTCACTGTCCGTGTTAGTAACACATGCTAGCGGCGAGAGGGTAATTGACGTACTCGCTTGCAACAGCAATCCAGTTGCCGTCCGAACTAATGGCTACATCTCGTACAGGTAGGGTAGTCCGGAAGAGTATTTCTTCGAATTTGCCACTGTCAAGGGAGAATCTACTCACTGTGCCGTCCTCGGAACCGGTGATAAAGAAGCCATTCTGCGCTGAGTATTAGCAACGTGCCCCGAATTGCACTTTGCCGGCTCACGTACGCCAGCGACGACGGCCGTGTTGTTCTCCTGACACTCGTCTATAGTAACGGGCTCATCATCGGATCCCGTGGTGAATACACGGCAGTAGTTGTCGACTCCCGCAGTAATGAGTTTCTTGCCGTTGGGCGTGTAGGCAAGATAAGTTGCACCAGGGGCATCTAGGAGTCAGGTTAGAAGAGTCAATGTTGCAACAGCACCAGAGTGTACATACGAGCCTGGCGAGCACGCAATCGCTGGACTGAAGACATTGTTGTAGCGGAATGCGGGTTGCTGTTCCAGATACAACGCGCCAGTCTGGTAGTCGCGACCGCGTAAAGTGGACATGGTTAGCGCGCTTTGAGCAAGCGTCCCCGCCGCATCTTCTTTATCCGCAATGCCCACCAGAGACTGTGCATACAGTCCATACCTAATATGCAGAGCTTCTTTCTCCCAGCGCCGAATCCTTCTCGGCACCGATCAAGGCCCGGCCCCGAAGCTCCCTGCCTGATCCACTTCCAGACCCCAACAGACACTCACACTCACTTTTCCCTCGAGCATGGCTGGATGGCGCTAACGATCACCCAATACCCTAACCATGTCTCGCAATGTAATTAGTCAGGCCTTGCCGCTTGACTCGGCAGGTGACAAGTGAGCTGCCGAAAAAATATGCTGAACTTCGAGTCTTACATCTCTACATTGTCCCCAGAATTTGTGGGTGAATTTAACCGCCATGGTGCTCACCGACGAGGAGCAGCCTCTGCTCAGAATCATTTCGCATGATTATGAAAGCACCCAGCAAGAGGGTGACCAATATGGCAACGATGGGCTCGAGTTTGAGCCTATGGACCCTGAAGACCCTAGGAATTGGTCTTGGGCCCATAAATGGAGCAACGTCTTGCTGCTTGCGTTCATGGCATTTGTTGTGTAGGCTCAAAATTTCAAATGCACCAATGTCTAGCAGCACAGTTAAAACTAACCGCTTCTTGTAGTACATTCACATGCATTGGTGTTGTGCCTTTGGCTCCTACCATCGTTGAAGACCTTGATGGAAAGCATAGCAGTGCAGCCAATAGTGCACTACTCGTCACCATTTGGGAGCTCGGGGAAGCCGCTGGACCTCTCTTAATCGCACCCTTGTCCGAACTACTCGGACGGTCTCCTGTATTCCATGCTTGCAACATGGGATTCATTGCTGCCACCATCGTAGCAATCTACAGCCCAAGCAGCACAGTCTTCATCACCGCGAGGATGCTCACGGGCCTTTGCGTCGCTTCTAATGTACTCAACCCGGCCATCATTGGCGACATCTTCGAGAATGAGCAGCGTGGCTCACCCATGTCTCTGATCATGCTCGCACCACTTATCGGAGGAGCCATTGGACCTGCTAGCGCTGGTGCCATTGCCGAGACAATGGGATGGCGACGTATATTGGTCATTGCTGTCGGACTCGCCATTCTGTGCGAGTTCTTCTTCCTCGTCTACTTTAGAGAGACATATAAGTTGGCAATTCTGAGAAAAAGAGCAGCAAAATCCACCGATGGAGCCGACGCGACTGTAGAAGGCAGAATCACCCATGATGGGTCTGCAAAGCTCTGGCACTCATTGACACGCCCGTTTGCAATTCTCTTTAGGTCGAGCGTCCTCGCACTCCTCTCGTTGTTTGCTTCGGTCGCTTTCAGCTTCTTCTATGTCATTAGTGTATCGCTGCCAGTCATCCTAACGGACAAATACGACTTTAAGCTTGCTATGACCGGGACTGCCTTTATCTCTTTCAGTAAGAAATGCTTCATGTTCCCGACGACACAGCAGCTAACTGAACACCAGGCATTGGATCTTTATGCAGTGTTATGATCTGCAATTTTGCACTCGACAGAATCTATGTCAGGCTTCGCGGACCTGAGGGGGAGAAAGGGAAACCAGAATATCGCCTGCCGCTTTCTATATTCGGAGCCCTTGTGCTACCCTTTACCGTAAGCGCGTACGGATGGATTGCAGAGTACAAACTCCATGTGTTGCTGCTTCTTGGGTCTGTGGTGTTGATGGGAGCTACCTTGTTGCTATCTGTCATCCCACTATCCAACTACGTTGTTGATGCGTTTGGCATGTATTCAGCATCGGCACTGACTGGCGTCATTGTTACCAGGTGCCTGATGGGAACATTCTTGCCTTTGACAGCGAGCCCACTGGCTGAGAATCTGGGCTATGGGCTGGGCTTCAGCTGCTTGGGTGCCTTGAGCCTGGTCCTGGCAATTATACCCATTTGCGTATTTAGATACGGAGAGAGTTTGCGACAGCGTTCTGAGTTTACGAGGGACTGTTAATGATGGGACTATATCGAGGTTCATTTTGGAACTATTTTATGTAGCATTTTAGATTTCAACGTTCGTACGCGTTGTTCGAAATAGGCACAGCGACTTCTACGGTCGAAGATAGATGTATTGGCCCGTGCACCAAGCCGTGATGTCCATGTATCTGCTGCTACTGTCCGCTCAACCAAAGCTGCATCATCGACCCTGCGGCCTCTGCAATTCTCAGCGCCATGAAGACTGCTTTTGCCGCCCTGTCGTCCTTCGCGACGCTCACGAGTGCTGCCCGTCTGCTCCTCCAAATTCCCAATACGCCCCTCGTAAACCCCTCCACCCTGTCCTCAACCACACACGCAACCCTGCAGTCGTCGGGCCCGCCTATCGATGCCTACCTTACGCGCGCCAACACCTTCAATTTCAACAATGTAAGCGTGGGCAGCTACCTTGCCACGGTACACTGCCGCGATTATGCTTTTGAGCCACTGAGAATTGATGTCACTCTGGAGGAGGCCGTCGAAGGCAGCGGAGACAAGAAGGAGGTTATCAGGGCCTGGCAGACTTTCCTAGGAAATGAGTGGGACAACAAGGGCGAGAGCCGTGGGGAGGGCGGAAATGGGCTTGTCATTGAGGCAAGACCGGTGGTGCCCAAGTACTTTTATCAAGAAAGACAAGGCTGTACGTCTTGCACACGCACACCGAGGGAATACAAAACTTGGGTTGGCTAACACACAAACAGTCTCACCACTATCGTTCCTGAAGAACCCAATGATTCTCATGGCTATTGTCTCCATGGGTCTCATCTTTGGCATGCCTAAGCTGATGGAGAATAGTAAGTCCCAAGTGGAACACCGAGGCAAATGCAACTACTGACGGCTGTCTAGTGGATCCCGAAATGAAGGAGGAATTTGAGCAGATGCAAAAGAATGGCGTCTTGGGCTCTGGTTCCACCAACACCGCCCAGCAGATACAAAATTTTGACCTTGCCTCATGGATGGCTGGCAAGACAGATGCGGGAACTACGAGCGCAAACGCAAATGCTCCAAGCCCCGGGCAAGCGAAGAAACGATGAACGATAAAACACGTCAAGTACGTTTGGCTCTAGTTAGCAGGCATGTGCTCAGCCCCTCTGAGCAAGTACACTACGCTACACTGTATTATGAGCAGATAGTGTATTTTATGATCAACAAAAGGGCCCTGCCCAACTGAACATTGACTGTGTTGGTCCTTACCTTTGATCAATTGCCAAGACGAGGCGTTCTCACTCTGGCGCCCTGACAATTCTTAGCAATATCCTCTCCTGGCGAAGCCCCGTGCAATCAACGCCAAGAGAAAGTCTATCTAATTTCTGCACAGAGACACACAACGCCGGCTCGGGCCTACTTGCACATGCATACTAGACGCATTACATTTATCTTAGTGTACCATTTGATTCTTGCCAGCAGACAAGGCCGAGGGGTACCTCTTGCGCCCCGCTGCTTACCTATGCCTAGTGCCTGCTTATTCACCTTCTTGAGACTACACCCAACCAATCAAATACGCATAAACATTGAAAGGAGCAAGCCACCAGTCTTGTACTTTAGGAGCAAGCTTTCTGCATGAACTGGGTTAGGCCGACTATATTACCTCTGGTAGCCATGCAGACTACTTGTGTAGATGCAGTTGTGTTGCTCTCGCCTTGCTGACAGTTGTGAATGCAACCATGGCAGACACTCCACATACACTTGTGGATGGTAGCACTACACCAGCAGACACTACTTCAGGCACAGCACATGGATCTCACCATCACCATCACCACCACCATCCGCATCTTGGCCACCATACGGGAAAGAGACTGAGGCAATTTCTGAGACCAGATGGAAGAAAGGTACATATTGCGAGTTCGCCCGATGAGGCCAACGTGATGAGGCGGAAGTTGAGCACTGGAAACGAGAAGGATGACTTCGATTTAGTCATCCACGGATCTCCTGAACATGTAGGTTTTTGACATCGAAAATGACGTTTGTGTTTCCAGGGACGTTGACAATGCCTTGCACAGATTGAAGCACTTCGCCATACCCACGCCCACCACTCAGACCGGCACAAGCAACTCCAAGAAGAACACGGCGAAGTAGCCCAAGAATTCGAGCGCGTCATCCGCGACCTCGACGCCCTATCCACCGAACTCCACATGACCAGCGAGCACGCCGTGCAACTCGACGCCAACTTCTCCAAATACGGCTACTCAGCCCACCTCCGCACAAAGGAAGACTCAGAAGACTCCCTCAACTCCTCCAGCACCAACTCCCTCTTCGACAAAGACACCTGGCACGCAGAACGCAAACTCGGCGAAACAATGCGCTTCTACCAACGCCCCATTGTACGGCAGTACTTCCACAAAGGCCTCCTGTGGCGCGCCAAAGAAGCCCAAGAAGTAGCCTCGTACGAACTCTTCATCGACCTCTTCTACGTCGGCATCATCGCCATCACAGGCGACTCGGCCGCCGAGCACCCGACTGGAGAATCGCTGCTCCGCTTCGCCATCACCTTCCTCATGGCCTGGAAAATCTGGTCAGACATCGGCATGCTGATCAGCTGGTTCGACTCGGACGACGTGCTGCGCCGCTGCGCCGTGCTCTTCATACTAACCTGCTTGCTGGGCTTCACGACCAACATGGCGGCCGCCTTCGAACATACATATACGCCGCTTGTGGCGTTTTACCTTGCTGCGCGCCTTTTCATCACGCTGAGCCTGTGCTGGTACGCCTGGCTTATTCCCATGATACGGGGAAGCATGATCGGATACAGCGTCATCTCTCTAATCCCTTTTGCGCTCTGGGTAAGCAGCGTGCACGTTGAAGAGCCGGCGAAACAAGGTCTTGTCTGGGTGGCTATCGTCTTTGATCTCTTCGGCCAATTCATCATGTTGCTCGTCCAGCGGCCTGGTAGTCCCCTGGGAAAACATCTCCCACCGCGTATCAAAGCTAGCTTGGACTTTTTTCCAGGAACGAATATCGAGCATAGAATCGAGCGGACAAACGCCTTCGTTACGCTGGTCTTTGGATCCTGCGTGCTGGGGTTACTGTACCAAAGCAACGTCGAAATGGGGATTAATGCCTTCTTCGGCAAAGCAGTCCTGGGCTTGATACAGGCGTTTACGTTTAATTGGATTTACTTTGAGATTGACTCGTTTAATCTGCATACTCATGCTATTCGACGGCATGTTTTTTCTGGTTTGTTTCCTTATTTCCCCTTTCCCTTTCCCCCCCAACCCTCCCCCCTCCCCATTCTAGCTATTCAATGATGGAAAATAAGCTAACCACGTCAATCCAGCAATGTCCTGGCTAACCCTCCACCCCCCCTTCACCCTCTCCTTCGTCCTCTCCGCCTCCAGCCTCGCCATCCTCGTCCGTGCCCACGACACCCCCTCCGCCCCGCTCTCTTCCTTGTACGAAACTTTTATTCCCCGCTCCGAAGCCCATATCCACGACGGCTTGCAGTGGTTCTACTGCGGTGGCCTGGCCATTTCGCTCTTGTGTCTCGCGGCGATTGCGAAGACGCATTCGCATCGCAAGATTCCGAATCAACGACTTAGCAAAGATGTGAGGCTTGTGTACCGCGGTGTTGTTGCGGTGGTGATACTGACACTGCCGACTGCGCATCTGGATAGTTTGAGGCTTGTGGGTACGACGACGGGACTCATAGTTAGTGTGCTAGGGGTTGAGCTGGTGGGTGTGGGGTGTTGGGGGGAGAATGTGGTTTGGGAGCGGGGGTGTAAGAGGGATCGGGCGACGTATAGTGCGAAGTGTGGGGTTAGTAGGGGGGAGTTGGAGAAGAGTGTGAGGGAGGGGAAGGTGGTGAGGGTTGAGGAGATTGCGGCGAGGGAGGGAGGTGAGAAGGGGGCTGTTGGTGTGGTTTGAGTGTTTGATCGTATTTGAATTCTCTTTTCTAGATACATTGAACTGTCTTTGTCGGAAAGTGCCGGTCTTACCTACACCAATTCTATCCAAACGCAAATATGTAGTAGACATGCAAGGAACAAAATACCCTTTCATCACTCATCGTCTGCACCCTCGCGTTTACTCCCAGCCGCCGCCACCGCCTGCTCATCATGAAACCTAATCGTACGTCCAGGAATAACCCGTTCCTCAAGTGCACTCCCCTCTCCTACGCGAATACCACTAGATTGTCCATCCTCATGCCGACTACCCGCAAGATGTACATCACTCAGTGGCATCGGCGGTCGGTTTTCTGGTCGACATGTACTAGATGACCTGGATATGTTTGGCGTATTCGTTCCACTCCTGATAAAACTCCTGCCGATCCTGACTACACGGCTGGGCAGCGAACCACTCAAGCTACGGGAAAAGCCCGGGCCACGGTGGACACGGGTGTCGGCATCAGTGGTAGTACCGTAGTTGGGGACGTGGAAAGAAGGTTGAGAATCGTTGGGACCAGAAGAGTTCGTGCGGCCAAAGGATAAAGCGGTGCTGAGGGTGCGGGGGAGATGGAAACCTAGTTTACCCATTGGAATGGAGAGGCCGTGGACAACCTGTTTGTTTTGTGGTTAGATCCCTGGTAATAATTTTTCTCAGGAGCGAAAAGGGTGACTTACGACTGAACAGATGACCAAGAACCAAACCACCACTTTTATGACTTCCATCAAATACTTAGCGTCTTCCCTGACCTCACCATCAACAACGATAGTCTCTAGAAACTCGAGACTGACGTAGAGATAAAAGATCGCACTGACGCCAATGGGACCGAAGAAGCCCACAAACAACGCCTGTCGCCTTTGCTCAATCTGGTGAATCTGCTTGTGCAATGCGAATACGATTGGTAGACGGCGGAGTAGCAAGACGAGAATTCCCAGGAAAATGAGGCGGTAAAGAGGAATAACAGGGGAGTTGGCAAAAAGTTCCCAGGGACAGACTGCGCCGAGCCAGATGAAGACGGAGACGTTGAGTAGCATGTCAATAGTGGGTTGAAAAGAGTCGTCCATCGTTTCGAGACGGAACCAATCGTCCCAGGTGAATACGTTGCCGGCAATGAAGCACGCAAGAACGTCGTCGCTACCGATCATTCCGACCGTGCCAACAATGAAGAGCTGCGATACAATGTTAGCATCCCGTTACCTTGGAAAAACGAATCACTCAATAACTTACCGCCAATGTGATCGCAAAAACCAAAAAGCTCTCCCGATCCACATACTTCCTCTCCTCAGCCCAATGCAGCAACTCCTTTGCAACCCACCCGACCGCAGCTCCGTACACCACACTCAACAAAATCGTATACCCCCACGTCTCGCCAAACCAAAGGCCCATCGCGACCCTTGTACTATTGTCTGAACCCAACCCACCATGTCCAATATGCTGAATGAGATACAGCGGCAAGAACAAAAACGGATACCCCAGTCCATCATTCGCCCCAGATTCCGCTACTATGATCTTCTGAAGTTCCTTGGGAATGTTGGCATCCGCGAATTTGCCCTTGACAATTGAATTCGAGAGAACAGGGTCGGTAGGGGTAACGCAAGCGCCTACCGCGAGAGCCTGTAGGAAACTGATATGCGGGACTAGGGCGAAAACGATGAGACTGGTCACGATCCACATGACTGTCATAGCCGGACCGAGTAAAAGCGACAGACTCTTCCATTCTGTCTTTAGGTATTTGGAGGGTAGCTGTACGCCTGCGAGTACAAGTTGCACGCCCAGCACCAGGCGCGTAAAGTAGAGCGTGATGGTATCGAGCGTGTGCTCGCCATTCAGCGCGTAATCCTCTGGCCTAATCCAATTCGTTCCATGGGGTGAGAAAATAACGCCTGCAACAAGTGATATTACTAGCATCCTCAGCAATAAGCATACGTACAATATGATCGATACATGACTTTTTTTTTGGGGGGGGGGGGGAGTAACTTACACGCTTCACTCAGATAAAACTTCTCCTTCATCAAATAGCTCACCAACCCAAACAGCGTGATGAAGCCGCCCAAAGTGGCGCACACAATGTTGAAGTTGTTGATCGCGAGCGTCGGCATGGCTGGCTGTGAACAGACCCTTTTTTTCGACGAACGCTGACGTAGCTATGGCTCTTGCACCCACCAAAATCTCTCGGCAAAGCTTGATGGCGAAGCTTGGTGGCAAGGCTTAAACCACGCTCTTCCTCTCTTTCTTCACAACCAATCTGTATGGCGGTGACAGAGACGGTATCAGTGTTCGTGATTTTGCTGGTCAGGTAGTGCAAAGCACGTGGATGCGCGATCAACGTCCTTGCCTTAGCGCCAAATCGCTATCTGGCGGTCTGAAGCGTCCAATAGTAACGAATATCATAAGAAAGGCCGATGAGGCCCGGCGAGGGTAATAGAGACCTGCTGCAAGAATATTGTCGTCAAGAGCTGTATAGGTAAGGAGATGTGGAGGGGAAGACAACATCTTGAAAAGGTCAAGAGGCAGGTGCGCATCGATCACACTTGCCAAAGGTCTTGGCTAACGGCATGTCTAAGCCTCCCGCGCTAAAACACCGGCACATGGTCCCTTTGGATAGGGTAACACCCATAGCGCTGGTTTGATTTGCATACACGCTGACGTCTTTGAAGATCACATGCTAACCTTTCAACAATGCTATTTACAAACGAGTTTACTTATTCTGTGTTACCCGTAAATACAAAATTCCTATCATCTAAACATTCGCTGCTGCTGATACCTGAGGTCCATATCCGACCTGAGGGTATGGCTCACCGGGTGCCATGAAGTTTGTCTGGGGGTTGTTCTGGGCCTTGGCGGCTGAGCAACGGGCCATAGTCGGTGAGCTATGTGCTGGTTAGCATTGTGGCACTAGGATTTTTCGTGGCTACACCACTTACTTTCTTGAGATGACGTCTGTGAAGAAAAAGTTCTCAATGGGGTTCTTGAGCGCCTGACCAGTAGTTTGGGCGCCCTTGTTCTGCTCGACCAGTTGTACCTGGCTTAAGCTAGGTAGCGACGCAGGCTCAACAAGGTCATATCTCCTGAGAGCAGGTGAGATTTCTTCCATGCGGTCTCGCAGAGCTTCAACATCATCGTATGGCAGTTCAGCGCCAAGGTACTCAGATGCTGCTCGGATAATCTTCCAGTCTTCCCTTGAGGCACCTGGAAGGCCAACAGCGGCGCGTGTCATTTGTACACGGCCCTCGGTGTTGACGTATGTGACGGACTTTTCGGTGTAGGCAGCACCAGGCAGGACAATATCAGCAAGCTGTGCGCCACGGTCACCGTGGTGGCCCTGGTAAACAACAAAGGCGTCCTTGGGGATTTCGGCCTCGTTGACCTCGTCAGCTCCAAGAAGCCAAACAAACTTGGGCTTCGTTTGAGCAACCTCAGTTGAGGGGACAGTGAAGCCAACCTCGTAGGCACCAGTGCGGGAAGCAGTTCGCTGGAGAATGTTGAAGCCGTTCCACTCCTCAGTCTGGAAGACAGCCTTGTTGTTCTCAACGAAAGAGCCAACCTGCTCGTAGATCGACTTGGCATCAGCGTGCTCAGTAACACCGCTGCCAACAATGATCATGGGCTTCTTCGCTGAAGCCAACTTCTTGCCGAACTCGCCAGAAAGAGCACTCTTGACATCGTTGGCGTTGTTTCCAAGCTTCTCGTACTCGAAAGTGCTCTCAAAGTCCTCGCCAACGTAGCCAATCTCCAAATCAGTCCTCAACCACTGCTTGCGGATACGAGCATTCAGGACGGCAGCTTCCCATCGAGGGTTGGAGCCAATAAGAAGGATGACATCAGCTTCCTCGACACCGTAGATCTTCGAGTTGAAAGCGTAATTTGACCGGACGTCGATTCCGTGAGCAATGGGCTCGCTACCACCGGGCTGGTCAAGAGCCAAGTTGTCCGAGCCGAGCCTGTTGGCGAGATCCTTCATGGCAACCAGTGTCTCGGTCTCAACGAGGTGACCAGCTACAACCTTGAACTCGTTGCCCTTGGGGGCAACCTTCTTGTACGCATTGCCAATCTCAACAAGAGCCTGTTCCCAGCTGGCAGGCTGGAACTGATCGTTGACACGGATAAGTGGGTTTACAAGACGCTGGGTGCTAAGGGCGTCGCAGGCGAAACGGGTCTTGTCGTTGATCCATTCCTCGTTGACGTCGTCGTTAAGACGGGGGATAACCCTCATAACCTGGAGACCGCGAGAATCAACGCGGATGTTTGAGCCTAAGCCGTCAAGGACATCGATTGTCTCTGTCTTGTAGAGTTCCCATGGGCGGGCCTTGAACGCGTACGGCTTGGATGTGAGCGCACCAACGGGGCAAAGATCAATGACGTTTCCAGACAATTCGGTGTCGAGGGCAGTTTCAAGGTAGGTACCGATTTCTAAGCTGTTGCCACGACCGAAGGAACCGAATTCAGGAGCACCAGCGATATCGTTGGAGAAACGGACGCAACGTGTGCAGTGGATACACCTGTTCATAGAGGTCTACTGGACGTGAGCACACATTTGGTCTGGTATTAGATGGCATCTTTACCTTTACAAGAGGTCCAACATTCTTGTCTTCAACCGCGCGCTTGCCCTCGATCTCGTGGAAGCGACCGCGGTCCGCACCGTACCTCATGGACTGGTCCTGAAGATCACACTCGCCACCCTGGTCGCAAATGGGGCAATCAAGAGGGTGGTTGGCCAGGAGGAACTCCATGACACCCTCTCGCGCCTTGTGGACAAGAGGGGAGTCTGTCTTGACAACCATTCCGGGCTGTACGGGCCACGCGCAGGAAGCCACGGGCTTGGGAGCCCGCTCCACCTCAACCAAGCACATACGACAACTTCCAGCAATCATCAACTTCTCGTGGTAGCAGTATCTCGGGACTGTAACTCCGGCCTTTTCGCAGGCTTGGATGAGAGCCGCACCGGCTGTTCGAGCGCGTTAGAAGCGTGTGCGGAGACATGAGTGGGTCTGAATCGTCTTCGTACCTTCGATTGATACCTTCTTGCCATCTGTACAGGTGATTAGCATTCGTCCGGGCCCGCAATGGAAAGTGGCACGAACCGATGGTGAGCTCAACTTCTGCTGGGCGGCGGGCAGAGGCAGTAAAGGCCCGGCTGCCATTGAGGGCTGCACGGTAGGCAGGCCTCTTCAGCGACCGGATCATGTATTGCCGCAGCATTGTGAGGGCTCTGGGCGATGGCGATGTCTGGTTGCGGCGGAGCTTCAACTGACGTTCACGATGGGAGGGTTTCCCTTGGCGCTTGAATAATCCGCCCGTGATTGGCCAAAGCGCCGCCCGCGCCTGCCACAAAATTCTCGCCGGCCGCCCTCCTCCCTTCTTCTTCTTCTTTAACTCATTTTATGGGCACAATTTATTGTAGGAAAGTTTGGCACTTCTACCTGGCTATCCTCTATTACGTGTCCTAGAGCACGACTCACCGTGCGAGGTAGCTGGAGCAGATGAGGATTTCTGATGATATCTTGTTCCTTACCAACGTCGCTACATACCTTGATTTCCGTCGTGTTTTGCATGTCGGAGCTGTGCAGAATTTCAGCGCATACCATGTTAACATCAGAGAGCAAGAAAGGGTATCTTCATTGATGATTTGCCCACCCTGGGCATATTTGAAGCCGCTGCACTTCGTGACTGTGTAGTTCCATTATGTCCACTATGTTGCTGGTGGTTTGGACAGGGTGGTGTATACCAGCAGTGTGAGCACCAATAGCCCACGGCAAATACTCATCGCTCCGTACAGACATACAGATACACGCTGACATGCAGCTCTGCACGTGAGAGTGCAAGAGTCACGTTCACGCCGGACAAGTGCGGGCACCACCTTATAATTGATGTGCGGGGAAATCCAGGCAGCCCTCTCATTCAGCACAATCACAAAAGCACATCCAAAAGCACGAGACAATCAAGTTCTAAACCATGCTTGATTTCAAGGGTCTACACCGCAGGCAAATACAGACTTTTACGCCTTCTGTACAGGACGGTACATGGCTCTCTACTTTGCGTAGGCCGTCTAACGTCTATGACTAGACATGACGAAAGAAAAAAAAAAGGTACGCAGGCTTGCAAGGGCTACTCCAGAACGCCATGCTGTAGACTGAGAAAGTAGTCCACACCAAAAAATATATCATGCTCATTATCTACTCGTTGTCGCTCTCAGGGCCAACCTCCATCTTGGCGCCCTTGGTGGCCGAAGGAGGAGCGATCTTCTGAGGTGGTACACCAAGACCGTTGTGGTTGCGGAAGAAGAGAACGCCCTTGCCCTCGCCCTCGGCACCGACGCTTGGCTCAACCCACTGGCACCAGCGGGCGCTCTTCCACAAAGCCTTGATGAAGCCAATGGGGCCACCCTCGGTATCGGAACGGTAGTGCCTGCCCATGATGGGCTTGATGGCCTCGGTGGCTTCGTCGGCGTGGTAGAAGGGAATGGTGGAGATGTAGTGGTGGAGGACGTGGGTCTCGACAATGCCGTGGAGAAGGTGACGGCCGATGAAACCAAACTCGCGGTCGATGGTAGCAGCGGCACCACGGGTGTAGGTCCAGGTCTCGGCGTCGTAGTGAGGCAGAGTGGGGTCGGTGTGTTGCAAGAAGGTGATCATGACGAGCCAGTGATTGACCCAGAGGTAAGGGAGAATGTACCAAACAAGAAGGTTGTTGAAGCCGAAGTTGTTGCCAATCCAGACGAGACCAGAAACAGTGAGGGCGATACCGAGGTCGCTGAGCAGGATCAGGTACTCGTCACGCTTCTCGTACAAGGGGCTGGAGGGGTTGAAGTGATTGACACCGCCGAAGAAACCGTTCTTCTTTCCCTTGCCCTTGCCCTCGATCTGGCGCTCGTGGAAGTTGTGGCCGGTAACGTTGGTGAAGAGGTACAGAGGCCATCCAGCAAGCTGCTGGCCAATCGAGTGGAGGAGAGTGGCGACGGGAGTCTCTTCGGTCAGCTCGCTGATCTCGTGGACCAGCTTGCCAACACGCGTGGCATAAACCTCGCGGGTCTTTGGGACAAAGACCATGTCACGCTCCATGTGGCCGGTGGCCTTGTGGTGCTTGCCGTGGGAAATCTTCCACGAGAAGTAGGGAACAAGCAAGAGCGAGTGGCAGATCCAGCCAACGGTGTCGTTGAGCGTCTTGGAAGGCGAGAAGGCCTGGTGACCGCACTCGTGGGCAAGGACCCAGAGACCAGTACCGAACAGACCCTGGAGAACAGTGTATCCAGCCCAGAGGACGGAGCGCAGAGGCAGCGAAGGAACAGTCTCTGGGGTAACGTAGTTGTGGAAGATGTAGAAGGTGGTAGCCAGCAGAGTCAAATCGCGGGCAACGTATCCCAGACTACGGGCAGCGGAGCGCTCAAAGCAGTGCTTGGGGATAGCATCGCGGAGCTGCTTGATGGTGTAGTCGGGGATCTCGAACTCGTTGCCGTAGGTGTCGAGAAGCTTGCCGTGGGACTTCTTGGTCTGGGGCTGCTCGTCCAGCGAGGACAGCGAGGTGTTGGAGGCCGAACCGGCAGGGGAGTCAAAGGGCGAGGCCGAGACGGAGTTGGCAGTCGAGTCGGCCGTCTTGTTCCTCTTCATGGCGGGCTTCTGAGAACGGGCGGTGGTGGTCGCCATGGTGTCGTCGGAAGCGGGGGTGAGAGAATTAATGATGGTGGTGAGGGGAATGGAGGGGAGGAGCAAGCCTTGGTGGTTGCAGCAGTAAGAGCCACAAACTGTTGGGATGCAGGCTGCAAGGTGTTGGGGCAACAGCACCAGCAAAGGCAAGTGAGTCGACGGCTGCAGAAATCAACCGACAGAGACGGATTGAAAGAAGGGGGGGGAACAACAAGCGGGAGGGGGAGGGGGGCTGAATTTAAACAATGGCTGTGAAGGCGGTGTCGATGAATTTGTAGGCATGCAGCCGGGGGGGTAAGTCAAGCCCCAGACCAACAAGACCAGGGGCGATGTCGAGAAGCCGTTGGGCGTGGGCAATCAGACAGCAGCTTGTGCAAGACGGTCCACTCGGGGAGAAAATGGCCATGATAATCAGCAGTCTATTGCCACCGCATTAGACACGTCGAGTACCAGGCGGCGCAAAGCCGCAGCCCGCATTCCCTAGCCCCAAAGGCCCATGGCCCAACGTCGCGGGCTAAAGTCCTGAGTTTTCAGCAGATGGCTTCTATCCGCTCCCTTGGCGTCTCGCTAGGCCAAAGTCGCCAGGGCACGGCGGCGGGCAGACCGCCAGTTTGCGTATAGGATTATAGGAGAGGGTGTCGATAGGCCACAGCACGCCATTGTGCCGCCTGGGGTGCAGCGTGCAAGTGGCAGCAGATGCCAAGCGACGAGGGAGAGGCTTTTTCTTTTCGTGGCCAGCATACTGTACACTACACTACACCACACCTACTCTACACCTAGCCTACACAGAGACATTGCATGCACATGGCAGGGTCGATGTCTGCTGCCACGTAACCTAGACATGCAGTGGGCCAACAGCGGCGCCGCCCCAGGCCCGCAATGGCTGACAAAAAACAAAAGCCATGGCGAGCAAGACAGAGTGTGGTGGGCAATCGAGGCAAAAAATCGGGATGCTGCCACCAGGGGCCCCTCTGGCTCTGCAGGGACCGGCCTAGCGCCCCAGGAACCTCGATTGATTCGCCCGCCCCCCGACCACTTCCGCCCACACCCCGAGCCGCGGGCCCTTGAGCGCAAGCAGAAAGAGCTCCTCCCACGCCCTTGCCCTTTCCACCATCTCGTCTCATCTCATCTCGCATCGCATCGCTTGCCCGCCCTTGTAGCACCACCGTCTCACCACCACCACTGCCATCATCATACATATACATCTGTGTACGTAAATGTCATGATTCACACAGTCCTCGAGCGGGATGCACAATCGGCAGTCAATGGAACCCCTCCAACCTTATCTCCGTCATCGGGCATAGACTTTTAGCACCTGCAAACAAAGCAAAGTCACCCATCATCTGCCCCCCCCCCCAACAGCACTATCATGTGCACCGCCAACACCCAACTCCATTACCATGTGCCCTTGAACCTCCCTAATCCAGTCCACCCCTCCTCCATCCAACTTTTTTTAAATTCCATCCACCGCGCAAGCCGCCTCCCTCAAACACACCTGCCCATTTCAACAAAATATCATGTAAAAAAACATACAAAAAAAACAACGCTCTACCCAATCCGGCAAACCTTGCGAGCAAAATCCTCCTCCATGTCCCATCTTTTTGTTTCCGCTTCCATCTGCCCATTCTCCAAAAAAAAAAGTTCCGTTCGCACGTGTGAGGGGGGGGGGGGTTAACGGGACTTTTCGTAGCTCGGGTAAAGGTAAAGTAAAGTAGTTAAAAGTACGCGATTGTGCATGTGTTTTTTTTTACTCCAGACTTTCACATGTCAAAAAATTAAACATTTCCCCATCCCCTTTTTTGCACCGGCAAGTGGAGCGCCCGCGTGCAGGACGTGCAGGATCGCTCCTACCATGCGTTCGACGGGGCTTTTTTTTCATTTGAGTAGTTTGGGGGGGAGGGGGGAAAGGGGCTTGGGTGTGGCTTGGCTTTGGTGCTGAGAGAAGTGTCGTCTTGAGAGCCTGGAGGCTGGGTGTCTAGCTTTTACACTTTAAAGAGATGTAGGAATCTGTGCTGTGTACATGTTGTTTTTGCAAAGAGTAGGGAGCAGAGTAGCTCACGTGGCATAGTAGCTGGACGTAACCACTGCAATTACACGGGTGAAATTTTTAAAAAAAAATAAAAATAAACTTCTTATTGTAACCTGAACACACATTCTAATAAAACGCCCTTGCGATGCCCTCCACTTTTGCTATCTCAAAACACACACACACACACTCGAATCCAGCATGAGCGGTCTTCTCCAATTGCCTACGCATCTCCCCATATCCACTCTGAACCTTGAACCTTAAATCCAAGCCATCGCAGCCACCAAGCCAACAGCGACACCGAACCAGCTCACTTTGACAATCCCCGCCGCACCCCTCGCATTCAGCTTCACTACCGCACCAGGGAAACTGCACGTAAGTCGATTCGGATCCTCATCCATCCTCCCATACATGACCTCTCTCTGCGGCCCATTCGGACACGCAAACCCCAGCTTCGCAGGGCAACTCCGCACAATATCAAAGCACATGTCCTCACACGGCTTCATTTCCTTGTACGGGCCCGGCTTGATCAGCTCGTCAATCAGCGGATTCCGCGACTGCGTGAACCCCACGTTCTCGCGGTACGTCTCGTTGAATTGCAGCGCGACTTCGTTTCGGAGGGGCACCGAGCCGTTTGCAAACGGAGCGTTGATGTTGCGCGGTTGGAGGTAGCTGTCTTTTGCGGTCCAGTCTTCACAGCGCGGGATGAGTACCATGCACAGCCAGTTTTTGTAGTCGCGCTCGCAGTCTGCGCATGTGCGTGCCAGAGAGTACTGCGACTCGGGTTTTGCGTCGCAGGCGACTTGGGCGAGGGACTTTGTAAAGTTTGCGTAGTAGTCGCGGGCTTGGTTGTCGTAGATTTCGGCGAGGGCCGTGTCATTGAATTTGAAGGTTGCGTTCGAGGGCACGGCGTAGGCGACTGAGTCGCAGAAGTCGAGGTCGAAGAGGACTTGGCAGGAATCGTCTGAGATGTCTTGTTAGTATGGTTTCTAGAAACGAGTGGGTATGCAGTGGTTTCGTACCTGCTTTGGTCGTCCAGTTGAAGGCCTGGAAGACTCGTCCACCGCCCCTCGTCATACCCGCACCGGGAATGTACTCGGGCTCCTGGCTTCCTTCAATCACCACGAAACCATTGTACGTCGTAGCCCGCTGTAGGCCCCTGACATGAAACTGGTTCTTTGGAAAATTGTCATCCTTGTTTACTCCAAACTTCGTAGTAATCCTACTATCAATTGTAAAGTTCCGAGTGGTATTCACGTTGAATTGCTCCTTGATTGCACAGTACGACCGCTCCATGCCAGTGATTGGTGTGTATTCGCCCGCTTGAAAAGCGTACATTGAGAAGGGGTTCTGCTGTTTCCACTTGTTCACGGCTTCGGTCGAGTTCGAATCGCCAAGGTCGTATGTGATGAACAGTGCAGACTCGCTGTCTGTATCAATCATGTACAAGAATGGGTCCGATGCGTTGTAGTTGTGATAGGGACCGTCGGTACTTGCAGCAAGCTCAAAATGCCAGCTCCCATACCAGTCTTCTTCGAGCTTGGGTGCCGAAATGCCAATATATACGTCCGAAGTCGTGTTAAAATCAAAACTGGCATATCCGCTATTGAACAGCCCCGTCGTAAGATTTGTAATTGTGTTATCGGGATTACTTGGTCCGGGTCTCTTGTTTTCGGGTGAAGTTGACACATACATGACGAGCTGGGGATGGTTTTTGGATGCTTCGGTCGCATTGCCATTAGGCACGGGTTGCTTACAGGTGTTCGCCGTGATCCATACACGGGTACCATTAGTTTGCTGTCGTTTGCTCAGTTCCTCACTATCCTGCGCTTCTGCCATGTCTCGTCCTTCAAGTCCAGGTCCATGCGACATGTTCTCTGTTCCTCGTGCTTCCAGAGCATCCTCAGAAACTTCATCCGCGCGGCGCAAACGCAGCTGGCTTTGCTCCAGCACAAAGTGTATCGTACTCTCAGGGTCAATATCCTTCTCCATCTTCTGATTGTTGACCAGTCGGTCCATCTCCTCTACTTGCCGTCCGATCAGGTCTCGATCGAGGTATCCAAATTCGGGCTCGTAGCCCTCGCTCTCTCCTCCATCATAACTAGCATCCCCGATATTAGAAAGGTCATCGCCTGCGAGCGCATGTAATATAGGGGCGTCAGAAAGGTCGGTATCAGGTGCGCCGAGGACTTCGGCGCGGGCGAACAAGCGTGGCGTAAAAGATGTCCATAGTGTAAGACAGGAAACTGCAGCGAAGAGGTATACGAGCAGTCTCAACTGCAGAGTCCAAGGCTTCGGGCGTTGCATTGCCCTCTCCGCTAGGTTATCGATAGGGCAAGGGAGGCATGAGATTTCTGTTCGGCGCAAAAGGCGCGCAGGGACGAACCGAGTGACGGACGGCTGTGCGCACCGAAAAAAAGCGATTGGCACAACGAAGATAGGCTTTTAGGAGAGAAAGGCTAAGGAAAGGGAGCAGTGGGGGCGCGGACTGTCAGACGTGATGACGGGCATGCACCGCCCCTCTTGAGGCCACAGTTGTGGCTGACACCCGCCAAGACATGTGGCTTCCATCACCCAATATCTCTTGAAGCATTGTCTTACAGCACTTACAACACTCAACCGCCACCAAGCTATTTTTTTATTACTACTCAGTGACACAAAAAAGATCACATATAATCTCAGAATTCTCTTAGAACAGATAGTTTTAGAATGCACAATCTGAACTAAATCAACATCACATGTTCATAGAGATGCCAATACTAGCTCCAAAAGGTATAATATTTACACGAACTACAACATCAAACGTTGCCTATTCTAGTTCCAAAGCCATATTTACAAATCCACCAAATCTGCAGTGAAGAACCAGTCGCAGGCTAAATTTTTCCTTCTAACAATCTACCCAAGCTTGTCCAAAAGAACCAGACGCTTAAGCAAGAGCAGGGTTAGCGTTCTTGAGAAGCATCTCAAAGTAAGCCTGGAACCAGGTTCCGGCCTCAGGAGCGGGCTTGAAAGCGCTGTTCCTGCCGCAGTGGGCATCGTAGCGGGCAGCGCTGGTGTCGGAGGTACCATCAGACTGAATAATATGTTAGCAGTTGCAAAGATCAAGTTGGGGGTTTCATTAATATAGTACGTACCTCGCCACCGGGCTTGACCCAGACGATAGCATCAATGAGGGCATTGCCAGTGTTGGTGGTGGGACGGGTACCAAAGCCAGCACCTGAGACGTTGCACCAGTCACCCCACTCCTGCTGGTTAGTGGGAACCTTTCCGGAGCGGCCCTGGTCGACGATGAAGTGAGCAGGGAAACCCTCGTTCTTAAGAAGAGGAGCCAAAGCGTTGATGTAGCGCTCCTCGTCGCAGTTCTTGTTGCCTTGGGTGATGGATGGGCAAGAGGAGATGCGGAGAGCGTTGTAGTTGCTGACGTTGGTGACGATACCACGGACACCACGGGGAGAGCCGGCAGCCTTGTAGACCTCAGCGAAGAGCTTTGCGGTGGGGCCAATGTTGGCGTCCCAGCCGAGCCAACCGGCGTGGCCACCGTCCATGTACATGTCGACGTTGTTGAAGTTGAGTGTCTTGAGGGCGTAGGCAGTGAGCTCCTTGTAGTATGGGGCGGCGCGGGAGCACTTCTGCACACCCATGTTGGTGACCATGTTGGCAAGGGAATCGGGCTCAATGGCAAGGTTGATCTTGACGTCGGGGTACTTCTTGATGATGGCGGCAATCTTGTCAATGTACTGGGTCTTGTACTTCTCGACACCACCGTCGTCAATCTTGAGTTCACCGTTGGAGGCCAGAGCGGCGCAGTCACGGTCGGGAAGGTCGTAAACGACAAAGGTACCCATGAGGTTGGCGCCAGCAGCGTTCTTGGCCTTGATGTCGGCGAGGTAGGTGTCCATGAGAGGAACCTTAGCGATGGTGTCCATCCACACGAATGATCCGACCTTGGCCACGGCGGTAGCAGCAGGCTTCAGCGAGGCTGGAAGCGAGGGCACGGCCAGGGTGTGAACTTCAGACGAGTAGTATGGGTTGGCGTAGAAGTTCTTGCCCGCGAAAGGGTTGCCAGTGGGCGCAGCGGTTGGAGTAGGCGTGGCCTGGGGCAGGGCCTGAGCCAGGCCAGCTGCGAGCGCAGCGGTGAGAAAGACGTTGGAAAGCATCTTTGAGAACCAAGAAGGAATGTGGTGAGTTGCGTAGAGAAAGACAAATAGTGAAGTCCTCAAGCCATATTTGTATGCCGGCTGTCGACCCTTTGGGCTGGTGGCTATGAAGTCTTCATCAATCTCCAAATTGCTTCAGCCGGTGCCAATGTCCGTAATGCCGTAGTCAAGCTGCCTTGACTGGCTTCTCCAAACCGATATTCGGCCACATGATGGGGGAAAGCGGTACCTGAGCCCCCGCATCTTCTCGAAACATGCACCGAAGACGCCACCTCATGACTGTCAAAGTCCCCACATTTGATGAAGGTGCATCGTCAACGATGCTTCTTGGACGGATACTAGGCTATGTACTCCGGCCGCCGAGCAAGTAGTCTTGTGTCTTGTGAGTGCGCTATGCCTGAAGAGAACATAGTCGGCGGATGATATTGGGGTAGGCCTTGGAATTGGGCTTGACACATGCTTGGCCGAACGCATGACTAGATACGAGTGGGTGACAAGAATCTCCAAGCGCTAGGCGACTTTGACTTCATCTATAACCCTTTTTTGTGCGTTCCTAGAGGACTGTTGATCAACAGCTAGACACTGGGCGCCGATGTTCTGTGCCGCATTCTCGCGTCGGCTGTTAAGTGGTGATTGATTCTCGGCTCCTTCGTGCCACTAGCGCGCCTTGGGATACCCACACGACGTTGTTTAACACGACTTCGTCTTTTTGAATGGCATTGTTCATCATGGCTTTCCTTTTTCGTTATCTCTTGAGGTTGATTTTTGGCCGCCACTAGGTCCTGCAAGCGAATACCTATAACCAGGTTGCATATATGAACTGATAGTGTTTGACTGGGTTGCGAGAGCACATTTCCCGGTCGACCTCCGGCGGGTTAATCTATTCTTCTGCGCCATGTAAATTGCTGGCGCTCGACTACCGAACCAGATGACGTTACGCTCACTCTTCGAGTAAACAGGCTAGGGTCACCTAGCCCTAAAGAGAACGAATTTTATTGTAGTTCGTCGCACAGGCAGTATCTGCCCTTGCGGGTGGGATTTGGGAGTGGGGTGTATAAGGAACGAGGTAGTCCGGGGTACTTCACACCACTGGCCAACGGTGTTCGCTGGCTACATCCGGATATCTGCATCTGCATACTTGGCGCACTCTCTCATTTCCTTCTCAAGTCCACTACCAGCTGTCCACAGCATGGCTGGGCCTTTACCCAAGATTAAAGCATGAACTCTTGTGTTCATAATTATCTATCTTGGACATCAGATATGGTACATGGTACATTGTACCTATAGAACGCACATATTGTTGCGGCCCTTACCGTGGCCACGTAGCTAATGCACGCAAAATATGCGCAAGTCTATCTACGAACTCAAAATACCCGGTTATTGCAAGCATCCCAACCTAGCTTCCCGATGTCCCCCGCGCCGCACTATGCATCGTCCCTTTTCTAGTTCCTTTTCCTAGCCAATACTACAGCTCTGATAACATTCTCAGACAATCTTGGCTGTATACTGGAACCACCGATCACAATCACGTGCAAGAGTACTCTTGGAACTGCATACATGTCGGATTCCAGTGTAACTGTTCCGACTCATTTTGTTATCCACGTACTCAAATCGCGCCCAAGACACATCTATTCCTCTTACAATTTGCGAAAGAAATGCCTAGCAAAACCCAATTCGTGCCGGAACCCCTCTACAATGTCTTCTTGGTCCCAAAATACCACACCGCACACCCCATCTTCACCTCCTTTTTCACAACCAACCCCAACTTCCCCGCTCTCTTCAACCCCTCCCTTACTTCTCCATCCCGCATATCCTCTTCCGTAACTCTAACACGCATAGCCTTCCTTCCTCTATTGCATCTCCGCGAGAAAAGCAGTATCGCATCTGAAATCTGCTCTGCCACTTCTTCTGACGATAAAGTTCCAGTCTGTTTATTGCGAGCTGGAAGATGTGCATAGGGTACTTTCTTCTTCTTCTTAATCTTGACCTCAGGGACAAACAAAGTGTCCTCGGAGGATGTAGAGCAGATGCTATTTTTTCTTTGAACTTCATCTGCAGCAGACTCGTCGGCGTCATAGCCGTGGTCAATTTCGTCAGCGTTGTTACTGTGGTTGTCGCTGACGATGAAGCAGTCGAGTTCGTAAGATTCTTTGCTGGCTGCGCAGGTACTTTCGGGGCTTGTGCTACGACTGTGTACTGTGGTGCGTATCAAGGAGGGCGACTGAGGAAGTGGCATGAGGATATATTCGTAATATTGCATGGGGACTTCGGCGTCGCTATTCGGGTATTTGGATGATGATGTAGAGTCAGTATCTGAATCAATGATGAATGGGAATGCGGGTGGGTGAGAACGACCGGGGTTGTTGGTTCTAACAAGGGGTTTGGTATTAGATGGTGCAGTGATGGTGTTGATATGGCTTTCTGCGCGAGATGGTAAGCTATTAGATTGAGTGCAAGATGCATATTTCTGCCATGTAGCCCTTTTTTCCAGACGTGCTGATCTTCGCACAAGCTGGTTTTCTTGATTAGAGACGATGTTGGGGCTAAGTTCGCGGCGAAGGGAGATTTTGGTAGTTCGGGGAGACATAGTTGTGCAGATCGACTTTTCCAAGACAAAATGTGATGTTGAGTTTTGCAGGTGATGGATCAGAATACTTTGTCAGGATTATGGAAACCATACCAACATAATTGAAAATTTCATTTCAACAATGTCGAAAGGAACTTGTCCCAAAAGTATCTCGAGATCCTGGTGGTCATGCACAAGCTCATTGTGTGCTCAAAGACAAAGAAGTCTTTTTGGTTATGACAACAGCACCTTTGAACGAAAAAATCGCTATTGAATAATTGGTCCCAAGTAACGACATGACGATGAATAGTTTGAAGCGTATCTGCAGTGTATTGAATGTACATAATGCCCATGTCTTAACAGAAAACACAATCAATTACTGCCAATCTTCCTTTTATAGCTGTCATAGCTCTCGCAAATCTTACAATGAAATCGTCGAAAGAAAATATAACGCCGCCCATATGCTAGGGGGTATCGTTTCATACCAGTAGCTTTTTTGATGATGCGCTGAATACTGAATCCAGACGGAAAAATGGTTTCATAGAACGCCGGATTGATGAATGCTCCCGCATAAATTTTGAGGCCGAAGCCAGTTATGTGGACAAATGCAGAATAACAGCCCTATGCGGAAATCAATGGGCCATGGAAGTCGCGCAAAGTAGCCACTAGATCATCCTCACGGAAGAGCTGCAAGAGTAATTTTTCTTGCACTTCCTTCCACTTCCTGAGCGCATCCAGCTCGCCTTTGCTCAACCACTTCTCTTCATTTCCTACAACATCTGAACGCTCCGCTTTGGTGAGGAGGAATTGGACTTTCTCTCGTTCGTAGGCAATGCGTTGAAGGATGCGCACCATTCCCTTGTATGTGTCGTGGAGCAGTTTCTCGCGAGCGCGCTGTCGGTCATACCAGACCAGGTGGAGAGAGTGTTTGGCTTCTCGTCTGTCGACCTTGGGAATCTCCTGGGTTTGAACAATGCCTTGAACTGTCAGGTCGTTGACGATGCCGCGGATGTCATTGGCGGACATCATCATGACATTGCAGATTGCCCGCTCATCGAGTCTACCTTTCTTCCGCAGAGCCCGAATGAGTTTTACGCCTAACGTGCCTTTTCTTGCTGAGATAGTGTTTTCGACTTCATTCTGTATCATTTGTCTCGCAATTTCGTCAAACTCAATGTGCCATTGTGAGAATCCAGCACGCGAATGCCAAGTGACAAAGTGAAACGGGTCTTCTGCCAGCATTTGTATGTGCTTGTCTACGACTTTTGTCTTCTCTTCCATATTGAGTTTCGAAGGATCAGTTGGTGCCGTCCAGATGTTGGTTCGGTTCACGTGCCCCTTTCGAGTGATTTGCACAGCCGCATTAGGGTCAAGACCTTCAAAGATATCTAGGTCCTGCTCTCGACTGAGCTTTACTGCAACGTCGCGCGCAGTGATGAGAAAGCGAGGGTCGATGTTGCTTTCGGTAGATGGCTCAATATTAGCCAAGTGCGGCTCAGGCCATTCCTCCCAGCAGCGAGGAGTCTTCAATTCCAGCATGCGCAACATAGTCTGGTACACACGCGCAGTGACCGACCCCAGACGTTGCTGTACCAAATGGACTAGTTGCTGTGTTCGCATAGCGACAGCAATCTTCTCAGGATTGACACGAATAACAATGTCGTCATCCGATGATGGTGCAGCCCAACCATTCGCTCCGTTGGTCTTCACTCTTTTGTTAGATCCATTGGTTTGCCGCGCAAACTTTGGAACAGTCAACCACTCGTCGCGCATTGCACGCTTGCGCGCCAAGGTGCCTCTGTTGACTACATCTTTATCTTTGGTTCCAGTAGGCGTGATGCCTGCATTGTCTTGTTCAATGGACTCTTGATAGAGCATGTCGTGCATGTCTCCGGGGGAGAGATACTGGGTTTCTGTAACAGTCCTGACCCATCCGTTCTCGATCAAGGTTTGAATTAGCTCGTATAGCTCGTCAATGGAAGTAATATCACTATCATCCTGCTCTTGACTAGGCTCCTTGGGCGTGCCGTTCTGTGTCATACCGTCGACCTTGGAAGCCTTGTGTACGCCGTTGGTTTTTCCGTTGCCATTTGTCAGCGTTGCCGGATCTGGCTTTACATCCTCCAATTCAGAAGGGACCCCATTTGTAGCACCATTTGTCTTTGCGTGACCGTTTACATGAGCGCCGTTGGTGCGCTTTCGCTTGGAGCCGGCGCCGTTTGCAGCACCATCGTCTGACTCATCATCACTGTCGGTTTCGGGTGGGAAGTATGCTTCTTTCAAATCGGCGATGCGTGTGTGGCCGAGGGCGAGCAGGTTGGACATGACATTGGCAGCCTTTTTGCCAAAGCGATCCTCGACCAGCTTCGTGACCTTGCCAAATCGGACGATTGCGTACGAGTTTTGCCAGTCGATTTCGTAGTAGGTCAAGGGCGCATCGCTACCGGAGTGGAAGATAAGGTGCTGCTGAAGTAGAATGACGAGGCCATACTTGATCTGCCGGGCATTTAGGTAGGAGGCGCGGGCGATAGAAGCGAGGCTTTGTCGTCCATGGCGTGCGAGCACCGAGTATACCCGCTGTGAATAGTTAGAAAAGGTGACTCGAATGCGCCTGTCGCATGACTGGAGTAGAATTTCTCGTCATGCAGGGCAGCTTGCGCAATATTTTTTTTCGTGGTCCAACGTACAGATGCGAGTTCGCCATAGATATCCTCGACAAGGAGGATGCAGAGGTCCGCGAGTATCTGGAGCAGTGTTGGTCATGAATCATGTGGTGGAAGCGCATGGCGGCGGGCGCGCAGCTTACCGGAGTCTCGCGCTGGTTGTAAGACATGTCTGGGCCTAGATATTTGCCAGATATCTAGGAGGGGGCAGTGCTACCGGGGAGACATTGGTGGGGGATTAGAAGCCAAAGGGTGGAGGAGAGGGGCGGAAGCTGTGTGTAGAGCAGAGTGAATAGTTGCAATGGGAGAATGGAAAAGCGCAAGCCGACTTTCTCGAAATGGAGACGGGTGGGGTGGCTGCTCTCTGGCACCCGCACCGGCCAATGGCGAGGGGAGCGAAGGCACTTACTGGCCTTGGCGCTCTACGAACTTTGTGATGTCGACCCTCTGCATCCACCTCACCCCAAGACGTATCTCCATCCATTGCCGCCTCCCACCCCATCCATAGCCCTCCGCCCGGCGCCCTCTACACGATGCTCTCCCGAACGACCGCCTGCCGGGGCGCGCAGCGTGCAGCCCGCCAGCAGGCCGTCCGCCCGGCCCAGCGCCGTGGACTCGCTGCCCCAGCTTCAGGCTCCTTCCAGTACCAGTCCGGCGAGGCCAAGGGCGTCAAGTACGCCAGCAGAGACTTTGCCGGCCCTACAACGACTCTGGCTCTCGTATCCAAGGCCGGTACCCGCTTCCAGCCATTGCCTGGTCTGACCGAGGGCCTGGCCAACTTCGCTTTCCGGGTACGCCATTGAACATGCATCATCGCACTCATACAGTCCGGCTGACGCTCAATTGATCCACAGGGCACCGAGAGGCGCTCAACACTGCGCATTGTTCGCGAATCTGAGCTTCTAGGCGCCTCCTTGAATGCCCACCACTCGCGCGAGAACCTGGTCCTCGAGGCAAAGTTCCTCCGCGATGACCTGCCATACTTTGTCGAGCTCCTCGGCGAGGTCGCCAGCTCCACCAAGTACCTGCGTATGCCGAGCGCCCCAGTCGGGAAATGAGACGACGATGAGCCCCAGCTAACACGATGCAGCCCACGTCTACAACGAGGAGGTCCTTCCCTTGATTCACTTCGCCCACAAGCGCTTCCTCGCCAGCGTCACCGATATGGCCACCCAGTCTGCCCACGGCCTCGCTTTCCACCGTGGCCTCGGTACCCCAACTGCCTCCGCTTCGCCCACCCCATACACCAAGTACCTCGACGCCGAGACCATTGAGTACTACTCCAAGATTGCCTACGCCAAGCCCAACTTCGCTGTTGTCGCTAACGGTGCCGACCACGGCGAGCTCTCCAAGTGGGTTGGCGAGTTCTTCGACAATGTCCCCGCCTCTGCTCCCCAGGAGTCAAACATTGGTGCCGAACAGACCAAGTACTACGGTGGTGAGGAGCGTATTGCCCACGATGGTGGTAACGCCATGGTCATTGCTTTCCCTGGTTCCAGCTCCATCACTGGCAAGTTCTACAAGCCCGAAATCGCTGTTCTCAGCTCTCTCCTCGGTGGTCAATCATCCATCAAGTGGTCGGCAGGTTTCACCAAGCTCGGCCAGGCCGCCGCACCAGGTGCCAAGGTCACGACCACCAGCGCCATCTACTCCGACGCCGGTCTCCTCTACACCACCATCACCGGTTCCGCCAAGGCTGTCGCACAAACCGCCCAGGCTTCCGTTGATGCCATCAAGAAGATCGCTGCTGGTGAGATTTCAAGCGAGGAAGTCTCTAAAGCAAAGGCCGCCGCCAAGTTCAAGGAACTCGAGTACGGCCAGGACATCCGCGCTGGTCTTGAGCTCACTGGCAATGGTCTGATCCACAACACTCAACCGTACCAAATTGACGAGGTTGCCAAGAAGATTGACGGCGTCTCAGAAGAGACTCTCAAGAAGGTAAGGCTATTCTCATCTCTCGGATCTATGCAATACGCTAACAAATGGATACAGGCTGCCAAGGAACTACTTGAGTCCACCGCTTCAGTATCAGCTGTTGGCGATCTTTTCCAACTACCATATGCTGAGGACCTTGGTCTCAAGGCGTAAATACAACAATCTTGTAGTGAAGTTTAGAGGGAGAATCTCGTTTCGCCGGGGCTTGTGTAACATTATCTTGTGATAGTCCCGATAGATGCATCTCATATGAGAGTTCTTTTGTTCAGTTGGACTGTTTGAAACTAATTTCCACGTTAGTATGTGAGATAGTTATCATTTTTGAGATCAATTGGTGAATGTACTACGTATGTATGTGGGCTATGACGCAGGTCGTGGATCACATCAGACCAAACCGCAGCTCTCACGTGCCCGCGCGTTAGTCTTGGCATGTCATTGACCAGTGTCCAACACTAGCACCCAGACACGTCCCGGCAATACACGTCCACCACAGAGTCAGACATAACAACCCACAAAGTGACTTTGAGTGTTGCTATCTTAACACCTGTACTACCTTTAAGACAAAGTCGAAGACGCGCAATCCAAAGGAAAAAAGTTAAAACCACATCTTCCTGCATCCTGCACCTTAGCATCATGGCACCTACCCTCTACCCCCGCGGCACGGTCAAGAAGATAGTAAAAGCGCATTCGAACCGGCCGCTTAGCAAGAATGTTGATATTCTCGTACGTTCTGCTATCCTCTTTCCCCCATTTTCCATATATACCGAAGGTGAAGATTGAACAGGGGGAAAAGAGAGAGAGAGATGTTAGCTAACGTGCAGGTTAGATCTATCTGAATTACGTGTTATTCATGCAAGAGTGAGTTTTTATTTCCTTTCCCTTTTCTAGAGTTTCTAGGGGGTTTTTCTTTTATAGTGGCGGGGGATTGGAAGAGGGTGACTAATGGGTGTTGTGTAGATTGATTAATGAGGCGAGTATCAAGAGTAAGCAGCGTGGGGAGAGGGGTATCTCGGCGAGGAATGTGAAGAGAGTTAGTGAGGATGTGTTGAGGAAGTACAAGGGGTAGGGTTCTGTGAGGTTGTGCTGTTTGAGGCGTAGGAAGCGGGGAAGGAATGGCAAATGGGTTGATGGTGTTTTGGGCGCATGGTTTGATATGATACCCGGGTTCGTAGTTTCATCCGTATAATGAACAGGGAGATCGATTCTATATCCTATATACAACAGATAAGAACGCTTGATCTTCTACGTACCCAGAGCTACAGCACAGACATATACCTCACTCCTTGACAACCTTTGGCACAATCCACCCATCCGCATACCTCTTCCCCACTCCCGCCTCTGGAATCTCAACCTTGATCCCCGATACGTTTACTCCCTTCTCCGCAACCCAACCCTTAATCTCCGTAGCTACCAACCCCAAAGCCACACAACTTGCAACTGCATTCTGCACTTCTCTGTCCCAACTACTCTCCACACCCTCCGCTTTCGCCGCCTGCACTCCAATCCGCTTATACTCTGCAAACGCCGCCTTCGCTGTCCTAAGTTGCCCATCAATCTCGCTCCACAGCGCTGAGTCTGAGTGCGCTACGTGCTCAGCGAACTCCGGAGAAGGCGAGGCCACATCGCCATACGGCTGCGTATGCGCTTTGAAGTCATCAAAACCCGGGACCTCGGGGGGCTGAAGCCCCAAAAACGGTTTCATACGGACTTCGTAGCGCAGTTTCTCTGTGGAAAAGGGTCGGCTGGGGATAGGCAGGAGATGCAAGTACAGCAGTACAATGTAGAAGCGTGCTAAAGCTAGACTGAAGGCAGCGGTTGCTTCCGTTTCGGCGATTAGACTGGCGACATACGGTTCAGCGTCGTTTACTAGCTGCTTCTCTTGCATTTTACCCTGGCGGAGAAGATTGAATTTGTGGGTAGTATAGTGCACTTGGACTCTACGCAGCAGTTCTTTTCTGCGCGTGGTAATGAGAGAAAGGAAGAGGTACATTCCAGCGTATTCGTCTGGGAGGTAGATTTCCTGCTCGAAGCCGAGTAGGATTGTTTTTTCGATCATCCAGAGCTTCTTGTGATACGCCCATGTTGAGAGGGAGAATTCCATGACAGCGTCGGATACCCCCATTTCGTTGGCTGCGGCGGAGATGTCACTGTCGGTTACACTCGTCTCGGCTTGCAGTGCATCCCAGTGGCCAATAACGTGCCTCATCATACGCCGGACACGACACCGGTTCTGGACCAAGGCAATCCAGAGGTCGAGATAGGCTTGGTCTGCGCGCTCTACAAAATCATCCATGAGAAGGGCCAGCTGGAGGCGTGGGGACTTGGGGAGAAGTGGGTTGCGCGGCGGTGAGAGAGTCCAGTTGCTGGGGTCTAGGATGGGAGAGGCGGGCAAAACGAGAGTTTTTACGTCGCCGAGCGACAACGACATCGCTGGATTGTACATTTCTGGATGGTGTAGAATAGTTGATAAATACGATCTGGAATATGTGAGGGTTGGCGGCGAACGAGATGAGAAGTGCCAGAGGAATGATTGGTATTCGAGTGGATCAAGTTTGACGGAGATCAACCGCGTGGCTTCGTGGCAAGCAGAAGCCATGTTCTGCAGCTTTTCTAACGCATCTTTGAAATCTAATTCAACAATAGGCCGTGGAGGAACTGTAGAGGCAAGTCGTCGTTGCATTTTCGGACTGAAAGCACCAGGTACTGTTTGACCGAGCTGATGAGTAGTCTTCAGCGTGTCAATAATCTCGAGTACCGGTGGCCAAGAGTAGGGCATTCCCTCGATCGCAAGATCCACGTCAAAAGCCTGAAGCAAATCTGTCCGTAATTCTAATCTGGATAGAATGGCTTTTCGAAGAGCGTCATTGATATCGAGATCGGGACTACCGATTGTAAGCTTGCTGTAAATAGTTTGTAAAGACGAAAGGACTTACTCCTCTATTATGTCAACGACAGCATCCAACTCTCTCAAAAAGACATCCATTGGAGTGCTCACGAATAATACTCGGTTATACGTGTGTGTACAAAAGTCTTCCTCTTCATAGTAGTCTCTCCCAGTGACCTTCGCTATCACAAGGTCACATCCCTTGATCAAACCTAAACAGTACGCCCTTAGCACCTCTAGTAATGGTCCAGGTTTTCTTTCGTTGGAAATTTCGCCACGGTAGAATTGTGCTTGTTCAATTGCCTTGACTTCTGGCCATAATAGCTTGTCAATGTAGACGGATGTAAAGAGCGTCTGTGACAAAGGATAGCCTGTGTGCCATGCCATTTCATAGCACAACAGTTGGTCCATGATGCCAATAAGTTCCTCTGGTAGAAGGGGAGTTAGTGTGTCATAGTCGTCTTCTAGAGTCTCTCCGGGTTGGAGAAATCCACTATCCATCTTAGGATCCATGATCTGTTGATCCTGATCAGTAAGAAGTAAGCTTCAATAACAAGAGTCAGCTACCTCGATTGCCCCAATAGACTCAAAGAGCGTAAAGTAGTCATCTTTAACTAGTTGGCCGACTTCCAAAGCTGTTTCATCTGTCAGTTACTGTCTGATTCCGTAGATGTAGTGATACTTGGGTCATCGCGGGCGGCGGGCGGCGGGCGGCTTCACGGCACAGCCCCGCCATGCCCCTCCATCGTTCACATCGGTCAACTTACCATTGCATGCTCGTGTAAACTTCTCGGTCACATCATAAATCTTTGGCCGTGTCCCGCCCACCGAATGTTTCGACTGTCTCAGGGGCAAATCAGTGGGAGTAGTCGGCTGAAAGGCAGACGCGTGCTCTTGCGCATGCGACAGATCTGAGCATGACATTAGTGAGGTGCATAGTTGCAGCACAACCAGATCGCTCTCAATATACCGGCAATGTCTGGATTATTATTTACGTCCGGGTTCTGCGCAGGGGCTGTGCTGTGGCTGTTAGACGCATCTGCCATGTTGTGAGGTGGAGTCGTTTTCCAAGGCGGGAAGATTGTGACAGCCGAGTTGCAGCTACAGCACCTAAGGCGAGCCCTGATGACCGGCACTGGTGGTCACTAAGGCAATTCCCCAAACAACTGTCTACGAGCACAGAAAAAGTATTGCGAGAGACCGGGAGAGCTATTTAGCTCACTTTGTCATAAATTGACCTAAATCCTCCCGTACAGCTTGATAGTACAGAGTATACGTTCATCCTCCCCCAGCTCCTTTCCGCATTCCATGTCACCCTATCGTGCCCTTGTCGTCTTCTCCTGAATTGATTTACGAAGACTTAGCAGCATCGGCCTGTGCCTGGAGTGCGGCAGCGTTGAGGTCCTTTACCTCACCCTGCTTGCCATTCTGCCCAATTCATTAGTCCCTGCCTAGTCTGCCTCCCTCCATCTTCAGGTATGCACTCACTTCCCACTTGGCAAACTTGAGTTCGCTCTCGCCCCTTCGCTCGGCAGCAATGCGCTTGTCATCCTTGAGCGAGCGACGTACGACGCGCGATGCGACGGCAATGTAGCGGTTGTAGCTGCTCAAGAGTCAATGGCGGTTCCAATGGCAGAAATACAGCGACTGCAGGGTCGGGAGGGCGTACGTAAGACCGGCGGCTTTCCACGCGAATGCCATTGTGATGGTTGGATGTGGTTTCGTGGCTATGAACGGGTTTTGCGGGTTGCGGATGCAGTTGGCAAAGGTTGAGCTGCAGCGAGATTTCGCGGATGCGGCTCGGAGCTTGGAACATCACGTGAACAATCGCCGACAGCTCTCAAGCAGCCATATCACCACCATTCTGCGCACTCATTCAGTCTTTAGCAAACAACAATACTCTGCAATGGTCCTGGAGTCATGTTCATTATATTTTCATAGGCTGCCTGCTCGTAAAAGCGCAGCCGTGTCGTGATCTACAGTAACCCCTCGTCAAGGAGCACTTCTGGTCCTACGCCTGAGACCTATGATGCTTGTAGTGAACCGTGAGAAACTCAGTCTCCTACAGCTCCATAGCCTCACCGCCCTCCGCGTCATCGCCACCTTCCCTGTTCTCGAACGTAGCGTCTAGCCATTCAGCAAGGTCCTGGCCCTCGTAAAGCGCAAAGTTCTCACCAATGCCGCCAATACCGACACTGGTGTTGTCGACTGTTAGCTCCTTGTCCTGTGATAGCGACTCCTTCAGTGATCTCAGAGCGTGCTTGATCAACTCCTCCCTGCTGGCACCTTCGAACTCATCCAGATGCCTCTCAAGGTATGTCCTTGCCATCTGACTCCTGGCTCCAATACCGCATGCAATCATCTCCTGTGTGACACCGCTTGGCTGGAACTCGAACAAGTGGGGTCCCTTTGCGTCTACACCTGCAATCAACAATCCAACGCCATAAGGTCTCCGTCCATACTGCTGCGTGTTGGTTTGTGCGCGGTCTGCGATACGCGAAGTGATTTCGGAGAGGGGAATGGCGCGGTCGTACGTGAGGCGGGATGCGAGTGATTGCTGCTTCATGAAGTTGGAGAGAACGCGGGCATCGGAGGCGAGGCCAGCAAGGGCGACACCAAAGTGGGAATCTACGGGGATGATCTTCTTCTGGTATGATGAGAGCTCCTCGGCATTTCGCTGCATAATATGTTAGTTGAATTCGTCGACATAAAACAAGCAATGGAGGCGTCTACCTTGATTGCTGCAAGTACTGCGTGTGTCTTGCTGACAATGCCCACAACAACTGAACCCTGTTTGACAGCCTCTTGTGCATACTCGACCTGAAAGATACGACCCTGTGGCGAGAAGGTGACCGAGTCGTTGTCGTAGTTGTTTCTGAACATGATGAAGGTGGGATTTGTGGGGTTGGTAGAGCCAAAAGCGGGTTGATTGGCTTCACGGTGACAAGACCTTGGCTAGGACAATGACTGGTGTGCACACGGCGAGGTGCTGTCACCAGGAGATTGCGTTGCAGCGGAGTGAGGCAATGTGTAGTGGTCGTGATGGTGTTGCTGGAGGTTCCCGCAGCCGTCGTTGACGACGAGCTCCAGAAGCTCCGATGCTTGGCAGGTAGGCAGCACCCTAGCGCGCAACCTCACCAGCAGGCGTCTGGACCACACGCAACAAGACCAACCACACCGCAGCTCTCACATCTTCGCCGGAACGGGGATCGACATTAGAGGACTTAGGCGCCTACTCATTAACGATTACTATATTATATCTGCGGCATCAAGCACGATTCCAGCATGGCCGGCATCAAGACCATTATCGGACTGTCCTTCGTACGTCAAGCTGGCGCATCCTCGCGCGTTCGCTGATCGCATGCCGTCAGTACTAACGGAATATACAACAGGTCCTCGCGATAGGCTTTCTTCTCGTCATTCTCTCCGCTGCACTCTTCCACAACTACCTCACGCTCCTCGTTGTTGCGACCTACGTAATCGCACCCCTACCCAACTGGCTTTGTAGCAGAGCAGCAAACCATGATGACTTTATGGAGAGTTCTGGAAACGGTGTGGTCGACTTTGGAAGGTTCTTGACCGGCTTCTTCGTGGTCATGGGTATTGGTAAGTGCTCTCCCGGAATACGCGTTCGGTATGCGCCTTGGACGGCTGCGTGCCTGCACTCTCACAAGAAAGCGCGAAGAATCTATCGAGATCCAAATCAGAGATAAAACTGACTCATATCAGCTCTTCCAACCCTCCTGTGGCATTCGGCCGAAATCGCAGGAGGTGCCGCAGCTATGTCCATCTTCGGCGGTCTGTTGATTTACGCGACTATCATCAGCTTCACGCTGTTCTTCCAGGAGCAAGAGGATTTCTGACTAGCCGGCGGAACTCAGCAATGAGGGACCGCATACATACTATCCCCAAGCGCATCGCTTGGCGCCTCGAAAAGAAGTCGAGGTACTTTGGTAATGAAGGCTATATGCCTGGACGGATGGACTGTTGCTACTGCATATTTCTGTTACCTGTACAGTTTTTTTATGAGCGTTCTTGTACGAGTATGTTGGACATAATGCATGGGTTGAGCCAGAAAAAAAACTACCACGAGAATGTATATGCGGACCTGTTCATCGACTGAATATGAAACATGACAAAGGTTATTGAATTAATGGAAACTAGCATCTCAAGCATATTCATACATGCGATCGTTGTCGCTCCGCTCCGCGCCTCAGCATAAAGTATCCTGCGTAACCAAACCATCGTTCCGTCCGGATGACGTCGGACAAGCTATACCCAACAGACTTCAACTTCACATAGCATTCTTACAACGCCAGGTTGTACGTGTACTCATCCTCCATGTTCTGCGCAACCCAAAGTACCGCGGAACTGTGACATGTTAGCAAGCATGCTCGCGCATTCCTTCAAGACTCTGTACTCACCTCAGCATAACCAGCGCATTGGCAACAACATTGCCAGCGCCCATCCAAAGGGTTGGCCATGTGTGCTCTGGCACAACAAACTTCATAACCATAACCACCACACTTCCCGCCAATCCGCCGGCCAGCAGCGCGAAGCCCAGGAACAGCACTAGTCTAGCCTTCCACGCGACACCGTTTCCAGAGTAGGAGAAGCTATCAGCAGAGAGTCGCGACTTGTCAATGCTGTTGATGACTAGCATGCCGAGGGCGCTGCAAATGCCCGGGACCCAGTCGACGAAGGTGATGTGGACGCGTGGGTCGGAGCCGTTCATAGCCGACTTGGACCATACCGATATGTCGATGAGGGTATAGAAACCGAGAGCAAACTACAAGGCGATATTAGTATGTGCAGCAGCGCTGTGGGCTATATGGAGTAGTTCACACCAGAGCTCCTGCAATGTAGACGCCTGCAGTCCTTGTGTTTGCGCTGTTCAGCCATGCGGGCTTCGGGAAGCGGAAAAGGCGATTTGAACCCTCCATGATGGCTTGAGACCTCCGTATGCGGCTGTAAGATAAATGTAGGTGCGGGCGTTGTGAGGAGTCGTTGAGCAGCAAGGCAGGGCGTGATGATGCTGGGGAAGCTGTCGCTGCGGATGCGCCTGCTGGGGTCGCGCGCCTGTTGCCTTGGCGCTTGACGTTTCCCATCGGCAGCTCCAAAACGCCGATCTGCCCAAAAAAAGTTCCCCAGCGCTGTCGTTTATTCATTCCACTTCACAGAACTTTCCTACACTACTCTTACCGACTCGTTTCCTGCTTTCGCCAATATGGGCGCAACGAAACCGGCTTCTAAGGGCAAAGGCGCCAAAGGAAAATCTGGCGGCAGCTCCAGTAAATCCTCGAAGTCGAAATCGAAACCTACTGGAAGTGCGCCAGAGGGCATATCGAAGCGCAAGCAAAAGTCATTATCGTTAGCCAAACCAGGTGGCGAGCAAAAGACCAAATCAATCGTCTCAAGAGATGGCAAAAAGAAAAAGAGGGTATATACAGAGAAAGAGCTGGACATCCCAGCACTCAACGGCATCATCCCCGCTGGCATTGCGAAGCCAAAAGGCGTGAAGAAGGGAAAGAAGTTTGTGGACGACCCGGCCAGCATGGTATGGAACTTTGTTTTCTCTTAATTCCTCTTCAGCAAGCTGTACCTCAGCTGACAATCTTACTAACCATGCTACTGTCGCAGATGGCAATCATGTCCGTTGTCAACGCCGAGAAAGAAGGCCACCTCGAGTCCAAGATTGCCAAAGCGCGCCAGCTAGAGGAGATCCGTGAAGCCAAGAGAAAAGAAGCTGAGGCGAGAAAAGAAGACAAGGAGGCCAAATTTGAGGAGAGGAAACAGGATCTCAAGAAGAAGAAGAGGAAGAGGCACAGCGAGCCGAGTGCAAAGAGTGACGAGGGAGACAAGATCAAGGAAAAGGAAAGGAAGTTCAAGCAAAAGAAGAGGGTTAGCTTCGGCTGAAACAGTGTGAGAACATGGGGTGAACACAGTATATATGGAGTTTTGAGTTTTCTGCGGAGCATAGGGGCGAGAAGGAAAGAAAAGCTGAGCACAGCGTTAATCATCCCTACAAGAAAAGCTATTCTGGAAAGCATCATGCGCAAAGAACGTATGAGCAAAAGTAGCATGAGAGAAACAGTCGATCAGGCAAAGGGCTAAGTCTATACGCGGTCTACGAAATCTAGAGCAAGTCTATGATACCCACATACCATTCAATGAAAATCACTACCACCACCACCCTCTACTCGCTTCTACGCATCGGGTAGTATCAGTCTTCGATGGTTTGGATCAAAGATTGGATATTTCTTTCCCTGCAACCCGCCCATATTCACACCCTCATTTCCCTCGCCCACACTTTTGGATGCCTCAAAGTCAACCTCCTGATTCAACTTGGTCAGAAATTTGGACGTTGCAACGGCAAACCACCTTCCGCCACCCAGCATGAAACTTCCCAAATGGCCACCCCAGTCTGTTGTGCAAAGTAGCACATTGGGGTTCTGCTTGACTTCCTGATACGGCAAGCCGGCTTTGTTCGAAATTGGGTCGTCTTCGGCGTTGATACCAAGGAACGGGATACGAACCGCCAGCAGCGCATCCACGCTTTGCGAATCGCGATAGTATGCGCCTTCTGTCGGATATCCCCATGTCGGACACTGAACCTGGCGGTCGAATTCGTGCAGAAATCTACTGCGCAATACAGCATCAACATCGAGACCGGGATTCTTGGATATCTGCTCGCGATGCTGATTGAAAAGACCCAAGAGGTTTTTACCCATGGTGCGCGAGTAAACATGTAGGCCAAGGTATGTGCGCTGCAGTTCGGTGTTGCAGACTTCGAGGTTCCAGGGGTTGCTGCAAGCAACGGCTGCACGTAAGAGGCACTTGTCGCCTTCTTCGCCGCAGTAGTTGGTCAGAATGTTTGCACCTAGACTGAATCCGACGCCGTATAGTGGTCGGTTGGGAAACAGGCTGCGCAGCTCGATGATGGTTTGTCGGACGTCCCATGTTGCACGGGCGTTGAAGAGTTGGGGCGTTGATATCTTGGAGAGAGCGCAGCCTCGTCCGTTTACTACGCAGGCGGCCCAACCGGATGCGATAAGGGGTGCGAGGGTTTCGCGGAGGTAGACTTCGTGGGACCCGCCACTGAGACCGTGAAGAGCTACCAGCATGGGCTTTGAATCTGAGCTTGCAATGCCTTCCCATTCTTCCTTGGTAAAATTGGTGGTGCGAGCTGGAAGCGGTTCATCCTTTTCTTCTGGCGTTCTTTCTGGTGGATTTGGGCTGCCCTCGGACAGATCTACTGCGAAGTCGACGGCAAAAGTGCCTGGGTAGACGGAATGGTTTGAGTCGAAGATCTGTCTCTTATAGTAAACTGGTGGGCCCGGGTCTTTGATAGCTGTGTACATAGTTTGTAAGTGGCCGTTGAAGAGCAGGGGGTTCAGGCGGCATGGCGGAATCGAGGAGGCAGCGACCTCTTCTAATGTGGTTTTCGATCCAGTCTTTGTCTTTAGAGTCGCAGGGGATTGGTGGGATGTGTACGTGGTTTTGCTGTGGCCTAGCAGCCACGATAAGTTGAACATGGTGGCTTTTGCTGGAATACGGTTCGCTAGAAACTCGATAATGAAAGGGCTTCTTTTTCTTCTTGTAATTCAATTCTCCTTTCACATGTCTCGTCCGGAATGCCTCGGGATGTGAACAAATATGGGGCTGGGGGGTCCTTTCCTCTATGATGACTCTTTCTCAAGGTACGATAATTGTCTGAATGTTTGAAGATCTTGCCTATGATGCGTACAAAACTGTGAACTCTTTCACTCTTACGGCTAGACGAGGAGCGAGAGAACAATCAAATCGATTTCAGACCCAGGACGAAATAAATCTATAGCGCTGGACACATTCGAAAAGAGCCTCGGCTTGCGAATGCACTAGGCCACATCAAGTGATGCTACAAGCGCGCGTCTATCTACCAATCGCGCTCCAGTAGCCTGGCGCGTTCGCGACTTCCCGTCCTTCGCGATTGCCCATTTCACTCATGTCTTGACATCCTCACCCCCGCTTTCGCCCACCATGCAACGCTTTCGCATTGAACTATCGTGATCCTTTTTCGCTACAGCCCTCTAATGGACCCCCGGTACAACTGGCCGCCGCAAGGCTATCCGAACGGCCAGTATAACCCGTATGCGCCTCCACCTCCGCCTCCCCAACAGCAACAACCGCCGCCCAACGGCTACCAACAACAACATGGCTACCCACAATATCCCCCAATGCATATGCAGATGCCCATACAACAGGGTTATCCACAGTCGCAGCCAGCACCATACCAGGTCCCACCGCAGCCTGTCATGCCCCGGCCCTCGAATCAGCAGTACCAGCAATACCAACAGATGCCGCCACAAATGCAGCAGCCACAACATATGCAGCAACATTCACGGCAGAATTCACAGCAGTATATTCAACAGAGTCCCCAGCAGCGCCCACAACAACCGCAGCAGCATATGCAGCAGCCTATGCAACGACTTCCCCAGCAATCTCCTCAACAGCCTCCACGACAACCGACACAACCTACCCAGCAGTCCGTTCAGCAATCCGTTCAGCAACCTACCCAGCGACCTTCCCAACAGCCGCAGTATCGATCACAGCCGCAAGTAGTAATTCCAGCGAGGACACCCAACTATGGATCTCCTATGCAAATGCAACCCCCGCGGATACGGCATGTGCAGGTGCCAGTGCAACGTGCAAGCAGCGTGGGGATTCCTCAGACAGATGGTTCGGTCGATCAGCAACGCCGATATAGCGCACAACAATCACAGGTCATGCCTGTCACGAAGCCAGTCCAGCAGTCATCGTCGCAGCAAGAGAATGGACCTAGATCCCAGCCACGACCCGCGAACACGCCGACACAGAACCAGAACCTGCAGCGAGCGCCCCTTCAACCACAGACCACTCCCCAACAACAGCGTGTACTACCCCGGACACAGACACCGACCAGCCAGTATGCAAGTCCGGGCACGCAGCCGCCTTCGTCCAAACCGAAAATGCACCCTCAGGTCGTCATACCTCGAGCCTCTTCGTCCCACCAACTTACACCAACGAAGCGTGCACATGTTCCTCAAAAGGCCCTTCCCGCTGAACTCTCCGATCTACTTCTTACGGCAGCGGACGAATATATTGCCGCCGCACGTGGTATGGGATCACTTTTGGGGAGTCAAAGAAAGGAAGCTGATATCAGACAATACTACAAACTTATATCTACTGCTATGGGGTGTATGGACGCTGTGTTGAGGGATTTCAATATGCCACCTAGGGATGAAGCAAAGTTGCGACTAAGATATGCAAGCCTTATGATAGAAGAGACGGACATTGAGGCTACGGATATTTCAAGTCGCATTGAAGAGATTCTTTCCAAGCAAATATCACTGTGTGGCAGACATAGATTACAGGATTTGAAGTTTGCTGCCCTTCATCTCCAAGCGCGGTACCAGTTCAAGACAAACCATCGAGCCGGTTTGAAGTCCTTAGACAAACCAATATCTGAAGCAGAGACTTTTCAACATATTGCGTGGGTATACGCATTGCGCTTCCTCAAGGTGACACTGGCATTGCAAATACCAGGTCGTGTGGAAATAGTCATGGTTCTGCAACAATTGCACGCGATACAGGGCCATGCAGAACGGCGTGGGGATCGTGCCATCTATGTGGCGTGTTGTGCGCTTGAAGCGATGGTCCACTTGCGGTCTGGCGCCGCAGACCGACTTGAACAAGTTCAACGCGCTATAGCAGCAGCGCGGAGTCTACAACTTCAGGTGTCAGCTAAAGATCTGGGCTCTTTCGGCACTCTGATTGATGTCATTGATATTGCTTGTGGCATTCAGACTGGCCGACCAGACACACGGAAAGCGACGTCCCTCCTTGAAGCTATATTAGGCAAGAAAGACGAAAAGGGGGGTTCTGAAACCGGAATCTTTACTGTTCTCATTGAACGAAGCTATGGCGGTAATCTGACGTTCGATACAGGTGGTGTTTTCAGGAAGAACGCTGAAAGAAAAGACGAACTCGTTTTTGCTTGGCTTCCACGGGAGGACCTCAAGGCACTGTGCTTTCACATTTGTGCACTGGAGCATCATGTGCATGAGAAGGGCTCGATATACATGAAGGAAGCTCGTCAACGATTTAGGGAATCCGCGAAGCGTCGAAACCTTATGGGCATACCACCTTCTCTTGCATTCGCCCGGATTGAGTGGAACATGATGTTGGAATGGTATTCAATGTTCGCTATTGGACTCATGGCTTGCTCCCGAGACGACCATGCGACGGCTGAAGATGTTCTTGGTGGACTGAAGAAGCGTATAGCTCTACATCCATACAACAATCAGGAGGCCTTTGCACGTACCCTTGCATACCTTTCATCTGTCAACGATCAGGTCAATGGCAACCTTGAATCTGCAATGACAACTTCTTCTGGAGAAGTTCTTGCAATACCGGAGAAAGGTCACGCGGTTCCAGCTCGAGCTGATATAGCAGTCATGGCAGCACTGAACCGCTTACTCATTCTTCGCGATCCTAATCACCCACAACATTTCCAGTCCAGCATGCTGCTAGAGCAACTAAAACCTTTTTGCGAAGACCATCCGAACCAGTACATACGCATGGCTTTCCGCCTCGTCCATGCCTTCCATGGCGAAGCTGCCGCCATCTCCCACCAGAAGAAGACTGTCCAGCAAGCCGTCGGCATAGCTCAAGAGATTTCTCAAAAGACGCAAAACTTTGAGTTTGTAGCCATGACAATGTGCTACTTTGTCGCGCGCTTCTTCGCCGATACAGTGGGCGAGAAGAGCATCCAAGCTATCCGTGCAGCGAGATCACAGGCAATCAAAGGTCGGAAGCCCCTGTGGATGGCTGTCGCAGCTGGTCTTTGTATCAATACATATCGGCGCAATGGGCTTATGGATGAAGCGGCCAAGGCTACGAGAGAGTTTGAAGCCGTGAGACCGCAGTTACCCCTTATACTTAAAGGGGAAGGCGATTTAGATGCTGAAGGTGAAGACGATGTTGATGCGGATGGTGATATCGATATCGTCGGTTAGAAGGGGGGATTTTCATCTTTCTGCTCACAAATTCTTCTTTCTTCTTCCAACTCGGTGTATGGAAGCCCTTTCTGTTCTTGCACTTCTATGGCGTTATATGGGGGGACTTGTGTTATGTAATCTGGTTCACGATACCATATGTGTGGGGCTTTAACTCGGGCGTTTTGTCTACAGATAATTTTTTCTCGTGTGAAGAAATGGTGTTTATGTAATAAATACAATTCTTCATTTTTGCTTGTAGCACTTTTACTCTTTTGGCGCTTGCACTTGAAAATGGTTTGATTGGCGATGCTCTCGCGCCTGATGGTTTGGACTTTCCAGTAAATATGACTTACTAGTGTTGACTTCATCGTTCATTCCTAGATCAAGATTTAGGAGGGGGCGTCTCGAGAACAAAGATGTCATCTGGCTATTTTGGGAGTACAAAATACTTTATCGGCTGAACGTATTCATCCACTGGCTTTGTTCGTCAGATGAACCATAATCACTAACTACTTACAGTACCATTCCCCATTTCCCATCCTGACTTCATGGTGATGCCATTGAACATGTATCTCTTTTATGTAGTCCTCCAGGTCGTACGGGAGTCTGGGGCGTATCCCACTGTCTACTACTTACCAAGTATCGCTGATATGGTCTTAGTTATCACAATGTATCTATATCTTTGGGGTATCTGAGAGCCTTATTAGTAATTTGTCTTCTTAATATCATGGCTATTTGTTTACGCTTTTATTTCTATGCCTTCTCCTGCATCCATTTCTGAACACCCTGATTTGTGTCAGAGGCACATAGCAATCAGTGGTTTGACTATGACAAGTTGTATACTTTAAATTTATCGTTGATGAAGTCAATGGAATCAAGCAGTGGAAAGGGAAAAACAACAATGTGTTCTCCAAGCCCTTTCTTGAAGATCCTCCCCTGTCCTACCAGACAGAATTTCACTGAAATCTTCACCTTGACTTTGTTGCAGCCATGTGTTTATAGCCCTTACCAGGCCATTTTACAGTTTTCAGCTGAGTAAAAAGATCATTACTAAAGACCACTGTTACACGGGATACAACGATCACTCTAAGAAGCTAAGTTTTCGTCTGGATAACGACGTTATTATTATAAGATTAACTAGATGTTTACAGCTGTTGGCACCTCGTCACCGTCGGAACACGCAAAACCGACTCCTCCTTCTCTCCCCATTCAGCTGTGAAACTGAACGTTGTTACATCTAGATGTTGCAATCCCTCTCAGAGAGCGAAATGTAGTCCAACGGGACCACTGGCGAGTTCCTATTGTAGTCGACGCTGTAGAGGAAGCAGTCTCTGCCGCTGGCAAGGATGACAAACTTGCATTGGGATTGGGACCGACAGATCGCAAGGCAGGAAGCGTCACTGTTTGCGGTTTGGACACTGTAGGCTGAGGATCCGTCTTGACCGACTGCGTAGCCCTTTTGACCGCACACGAGAGGCTGAGGAGCGGGTGTAGGAGTGGGTTCAGGAGTAGGCTCAGGAGTGGGTTCAGGAGTAGGCTCAGGAGTCGGCTCGGGTGTTGGCTCAGGAGTCGGCTCGGGTGTTGGCTCAGGAGTAGGTTCTGGAGTAGGGGTAGGAGTAGGTGTGACCACCGGCTCTACACAAGACCTTTCATATAGCGCAGCGCGAGGGTTGACGGTAAATTGAGTAACATCAGACAGCGGAATGGTGAAGATATAGCAGGTGTTCCCCCCGTACAAGAAGAAGAACTGGCAACTGGGATTTTGGAGACAGGATTGAGAACAAGCAGCGAGGCTAGATCCGGGAGTCGTAGTCTGTAGACCCCTGGGCGATGTTGGGTACTTCTGAGCTCCACATTCACCAGAAGGAGGCTGAGGAGTCGGCTCGGGAGTGGGTTCAGGTGTTGGTTCAGGCGACGGCTCAGGAGTTGGCTCAGGAGTAGGCTCAGGTGAGGGTTCAGGAGAAGGCTCAGGAGAGGGTTCTGGCGAAGGCTCTGGAGTTGGCTCTGGGGAAGGTTCTGGAGAGGGTTCTGGAGAGGGTTCGGGAGCCGGTTCTGGGGAAGGCTCTGGAGAGGGTTCGGGAGTCGGTTCAGGGGAGGGTTCGGGAGAAGGCTCCGGTGAAGGCTCGGGAGTTGGCTCTGGAGAAGGCTCAGGAGAAGGCTCTGGAGAGGGTTCAGGAGTTGGCTCTGGAGAAGGCTCGGGAGAGGGTTCGGGAGTCGGTTCAGGGGAGGGTTCGGGNCGGTTCAGGGGAGGGTTCGGGAGAAGGCTCCGGTGAAGGCTCGGGAGTTGGCTCTGGAGAAGGCTCAGGAGAAGGCTCTGGAGAGGGTTCAGGAGAAGGCTCGGGAGTTGGCTCTGGAGAAGGCTCAGGAGAAGGCTCTGGAGAGGGTTCAGGAGTTGGCTCTGGAGAGGGTTCGGGAGTCGGTTCTGGGGAAGGCTCGGGAGTTGGCTCTGGAGTTGGCTCAGGAGAGGGTTCTGGAGAGGGTTCAGGAGTTGGCTCTGGAGAAGGCTCGGGAGAGGGTTCGGGAGTCGGTTCAGGGGAGGGTTCGGGAGAAGGCTCCGGTGAAGGCTCGGGAGTTGGCTCTGGAGAAGGCTCAGGAGAGGGTTCGGGAGTCGGTTCGGGAGAAGGCTCCGGTGAAGGCTCAGGTGTAGGTTGATGCGAATACACTACAACAGATGACGAAGTAGTGCAAGGCGGTTTTTCACCAGAGCATTTTCCATACACTGGGTTGCATCCTCTGCCGCAGTAGTTGCGATTTCCACCGCAGTAACCACGTTGGCTAGCTTCGTGTTAGCTCTACACGCTTTTCATCTATTATTATAGAACTTACTCGCAGCAGTCTCCGAACTTGGAGCCCAGGCAAGTAGCACCGTTGATAGCACAACGACCGTCTTCCGAGATTTTCGGATACGTGGAAGATCCTGATACAGGGTACGTAGCTCCCTGGACGGCCTGCACAGTGGCGAAGGCCGCCAACAGCAAAGTGTTGATACTCGGCATTTTAACCGGTTATTATATATGGTAGTGACAGTGGATGTATGTATAAAGACACAGAACTCAAGAGAATGTGGGGCCTGTTACAACAAGGGCTTGTGAACAGTAACGAGCATACCGAACAGAGGGTGATCCTCTTTTTATCATAGAAGCCCATCCCGAGCAAAACATATGCGGAGGCTTGCCTCTGACTCGACTTAAAGACAACAATCGACCGTGTGCCGCTTCTGGGCCCGATATCGTTCTCGCTAGGCTTAGCTCTACAGCGCCATCAGGCGACGAATAGACAGCCACCGTTAGTAGCTTCAGCGTCGAGACCTATGTTTCGTCGAGCTAGAGCGAAAGCAGCGCAATCTAAGAAATGTGGAAATGGGAGAGGCGCAAATCACTAGTCCGAGGGTTCGGCTTTCCGCGGCGTTAAGCCTCAAGCGAACCTAGTATTGTACCCCTATACGCGCTTAGCTGGGTGGCCTCATTTCCATGAGGCTGACCTTGATTCTTTTTTTGCGATTCGCTTACCTTTGCGAGTCAGGCACACATTTAGGGCTATGTAAGTACGAGCGCCTAAGATTTCCCACGGGGATGCCGGCGGTGAATTGGGTGCACGTGGTACGCTAGCGCGATAAGAGACTAGTATGAATAGACCAGTTGGCTGAGAGAGCGTAACAACAAGCCAGAGTTGTGATTGTGGATTCGGCAGTGGTCCTGAGCTTGTTTGCAAATTACCTGACAGCTTCCCAATGGGCGTGTTGACTGGTCATGCTACGCTCGATGTAGCCCTGTTCAGAAGGAAGTGTGATCGAAAAATGTATCCTCCCATATCTCGGACAGCTGAAAGAACTTCTAGAAGCGATTACTTAGAGGTTATGGAAGTTGTCCCAGAATGGCCGATACAACTTATTGAACATCTTCTGGGAATTTGCATGAATCGGGTGACCATGTAGAGAAGTGTCGAGGATGAATGATGCAGAGAAGATAACTATGTATACATTGGAAAGATGATCTAAAGGTGACCAAATCTTCCTGCCGAACTTAATGTGAACAAAAAACCTCCGGCAATGTACCATCCGCCATTACTCGCTCCCGAAGTTACGTACAATGTTCCCCGGAAAGCCAAACCAGATCTGCCAAAACTCAATTTCTCACGCCTGTGCCGTGCAACTGCCGTCATTGATTTCTCCAAATAGAGAGACAGAGCTGATGTTGAAAACCCCGTCCTGGAATTTGATCATTGTGAGAGAGATATTCGTGATAGAAGCAATTGCAGGTGTATTGACAGGCCCAAACACAACTGTTTGACCTTTATGTCCCGTAGCAGTTGCAGGAGCATCTAGCAATTCTGTGCAATTGTTACCGTCATTTAAACTGCCGAAGATGCTAGTCGAAGAGATGTCGAAGACTTCGTCTTGGGCGTTGAGGAGCGTGAGAGCTACGTTGGACAATGGGACTTGAGGCTGAGTAAGGGGGCCGAAGAGCGTTCTCAGGCCAGGTTGGCGCGCTTCGATAGATTTGACCGGTGGTGAAGGATGTGTGCTGGTTGCACTACTGTAGAGCAGTGGAAGAATCATAGTGAGAGATTTGGTGAACATGATGAAAGATGTAAGACAGGATAAGCTCTCGTGTGTTAAATATCTTGGAATAGAAAGAAGTCTGTAAGATATTGAGAGAACTGCTTGATGCAGGTTTTTAGGTCTTTTTCAGTCTTTATATCGCTTCATATTCACCAGAGCCATTTCTACTACACTTCACGAGCCGATATATCTTGCGTTCAGGTGAGATAAAATCGAGCTTTCTCACTGTCATCGGCGCACTGTTCCCCAGCTAAGATCGGTATGGTCTATTGGTACCCCATCGCCGATGATACTATACCACCTTTGCTAATCAGTATTGTTCGAGAACTCTGTGAATCCCAAGTCAAGATCTGCTCTGGTCACATGTTCTCATGGGTAAAGAGTCCATGCAGATGGCATCGTATCTGGTGTATGGCACGAGGCTAAGTCGGTATAATTTGGCCGATATTCTATGATATTCGGTTTGGCCCGCACATGTTGTGCTTCTCGGTAGCTACTAAATTATACCAAGTGCTCACTGAGATCCTGGTAGTAGAAAGAAAAACACTCTCTTCTCCTTCTGGAACAGATATTTATAAGGCCGCACGCATCAAGCTCGACACGAACCAAGAACTCTTGTAGATTTGGAAATAGGCACTCACATCGATTCGGAGTAAAATCTGTAGGTAAATAGACGCATTAGTTAGTATACTTTAAGTTCAGACTTGTGCTAACACACAAGGGCGTATGCCCAAAGTGCTCCAGTGACCTTGATCAAATCACTCGGTCCGGAATTAAAACCATTGACGGGCGCATGCAAGTGAGAGGTCACTACAGGCTCATTGCCAAACTCCACTGAATCTAATATTGAATACATGTACTTTCTCAACAAAACTGCATCCCTATCGCTGGGAAACGCTAACCGATCCGTCTGATCAGCATACCCAGAGCAACCACACCAAAAACCATCGAGTTATCCCTCCGAATTCGGGAATAAAAAGAGCCCGGTCTGTATAGCTACTAGATCTACGAAAAAGTAGCATCAAGAATGGTCGCAAAGCGAATCCGCCTTTGTTAGCACTAGAACTTGCACTGCCTCTATCAAACGACCACAGCAAGCTCTACGTAATCAGCCTAAATACAGCTAAACCCTCGGTGCCGTCTAGACACTAGATCCAGAGTCATCCCTAGGTCAAAACCATGCTCTGGCTACAACAGCGAATCAGTATGAAGAGGGTGCCACAACCGTCAAGGCTGATACCCCAGACTTCCCCGAGATACGCCAACTCGGACCGCACAGCCAACCAGTACGTTATTTCTCCGAGCCTTGTCGAAAACAAGCACGATAGTATATATGTCTCAGACAAACAAATCTATGCCACTCAGCCTTCACAAGAAAGATCGGCGCCTGGCGCTCAGGATCACAGGGTTCATCCAGTAATAGGGATAGGCACTACCTAAACTAAGTGAACCCGAGCTAACAAAGCCCTACCTACCACAACCCTCCCGAGCCCAATATCGAGGGCCGAAGCCAGCAGCAACGGACTGTCTCATGAGCTCGTTCCTACATACCACACCCCCTGGACCCACACATCCTCAAATTGCGCAACCACAAGGGCCAAGAATGAGAATATGCCGAGATACACACATATACTCCACGCTACTATCCGAATAAAGTAAGTTATGGTGCTTGCCACACTCTTGGGCACTGTCCTGTCCGCAGCACGGAGCCCCCTGCATGAGCAAGACAGGTAAAACGAACTAGGCAAGGCTGAGCAAGTAGGCTTGGAAGACGAATGGGAAAAAAAAATCAAGGGCATATGGGAAATGTTTTTCTCCATTGACGCACGCCACACTTGTCATGGGTAAGTAACTTTTGACTTACTGGTCTAGCGTAAAGTTTGATCCCCCCTTCCACCACCACCCCCCTCCCCAACGATAGTAACCTCACGTACCTCAAATCATATCTCGCTAGAACGAAATGATGTCACAAAAATCAGCCTAACTCCAAAAAAAACAACCAGAGCGATATCAATCAACAGATATTACAAAATAGCGCTACGATATCCACTTCAAAACTTACCCCACACCCCCCCTCCTCCTCCTACATACCCGCCCACCCACTCCATCCCCATGCCCCCCACACACCCCCCCTTTCCACAAAAACAAAACAAAAGTAACAAAAAAATGCAAAAAAGATGCTATTCCGGTACCGGGAGTCGAACCCGGCTCTCGTCGGGCGCTCTTCACCAAGCGATGAAAGCGACGGATGCTAGCCGATCTGATACTTATTAGTCTCTTTGTCATGGTACAAGGAGGTTGTGAGGTAGAACTTACACACCATACCGGAGAAGGTACTTCGATGGAACGTGGGAAAATTTTAGAGATTATATCTGTGGGGAGAGGAAGTCGGGAGGGGATTGGTGGGGAAGAATAGGCGGGAAGGATCGATGAGGCCCCGCTTTGCGAGAGATCGGGTTGAAAGCAAAAGCGAGTGCGAGGCTAAAGGGTAGCGAGGGGCGGAAGGGGGGGGAGGGGGGGGGTTTGTTTTGGAAGGGAGAGGAGAGGGGGTGGGGGGTGTTACGTAATGTACTGTGTACTGGATGACTTGGGTTTCCATGTTTACAATTTCACGATATTGCGCTTGAGTTTATGAAATGGAAATTCTCCATCACAATTGTTCTATTCATGATTGATTCCTTAGGCGCAAGCTGCACTTCACGAATAGCGTTTTTGCGCAGATACTTCCAGATGCAGGAAAAGAAAAACTCTCGCATTCGCATTCCGCTTTCATCCATAATAAAAAGTACCGATCGGATACGTGCATGGCAGTAGAGAAAAAAAAGAGCAAGGTTTCGCGAACAAATAAACGCCGATTGTAACTTACTCAAATAATCATACACATCATTACAATACTCTGCATCGAGTCTGTCATGAGATGACCCCCCATACGGAGAGGGCGTGCGAGAATAACCTTCTCACGACGAATAGCGCCACGTTTCTGCGCCGTGGACCTTTGCGTCGGGTTGGGATGGCTCGAGTGCAGGCTTCTCTTGATCGGGTGCAACTGCAGTATCAGCCTTGCCGTCACCCTTCCCATCGTCGCTGATGGGGCTGGGCGTCGGTCGCAGCGGCTCTTGTGGCGCTGGAGACGGCTTTTTGCTTTCGGATTCTTCTTTGCTCGCAGGTAAATCCTGAGAAAGACTAGAGCGAGGACCTGAAGGTGGATAGCGCGACTGCGGCTCTTGTGGTGAAGGCGCGGTCACCGGGGGCTCGCTTGGTGGGCCCGTTGTCGTAGCCAGTTGTTTAAGCATCTGTTCCCACTTTGGCGCTTCTGTTGTCTGCGTTGTTCGCGCCATTTCGCGCTGGAAGGCATCGGATGATTGAAATTGTGCCGATGGCTTTGGTACAGACGGACCTGTAGGCGGGGGTCCGTAGTAACCCTGAGGAGGTGTAGACCCAGTCGATGCTGCGGGTTTCGGTGCAATTGAAGTAGGCGTACCACTCGCCCTTGACACCGGAGGCTTTGGCATCCACTCCGGGGCGATCCCATGATCCAGACTATAGGGTGATATGTAAGTTTTTGTCCTCCGTAGATAACAGTTTCTGAGGTAGGGGTAGTTCATAACATAGGACAAGTATTCAGTGGGGGATTGGGCAGCGTAAATGATATTAGAGGAGGGTGTGACGGCGTACATTGGAGGTTTGGGAGGCCCAGAAGGGTTGCTCGGCATGCTTGAGATCGATGAGCGACCATTCGATGGCCCTTGAGCCTGACGACCAGGTGGACCATAAGCGCGCGCTGCACTTGGTACTTGACCATGTGAGTACGGCGACTGACGAATGTTCTGAGCATATGGGTATGGTGGCAAGACGTTAGCATGTGGCAGTGCTTGCGCATACTTTTCAACGCCGCTGAGCATCGGCCCAGATGTTGCTGATTGTGACTTCCATGAAGCAGTTGAATAGCTTTGTGGAGGAACATATGGGTGATACTGCAGTTGCTGCTGAGAGGGATGCAGCGGTCGATGCGAGAGATAGCCCTGGTTTGACTGTTGGCCGTACTGCCCGTGTGGCATGCGATGGTCATAACTCACGTTTGGTTGATGTGCAACGGGTGAATTGGGGTTCTTGCGAGTGTCCGGATTATATACTGGTGATCTGAAAGGCGCCACGACTGGGTCTTTTGGCTTGTAACTGTACGGCCGCCCATTCTGCATATATTGCTGCGCAGGGGGTACAGCGATAGGTGCTGGTTTGAGTGGATAGGAGGCCGGGTAAGAAGCACGATGGAATGCTGGTACGGGAGGAGGTGGAGGTTTGACAGTATCGAGGAAGTTGCTCTTTGGGTTGTTCCTTGGCTTCGCAGGGTTCTCAGTGTACTGTGGCCTGGCCTCAGTTGACGACTTTCCGAGATAGTACCACAGCTGGTCCTCTTTGCTAAGGTCGACCTTAGCTACCCTTTGCGTAACCTCAGGAGCAGTGTACCATTCAGCCCATTTCTGTTCAGAGTTAGGGTCATGGAAAGCATCGCCCATCTCAGGCACACCATCTGTACGATTGGTGATGTCGAGAGATGCATCGCTTTCCTTTAGATGCTCTGGCAGTGGCTTAGCGTTCGCAGATGGCTTCAACCTCTGAGATTCATCTGGATGAAGCTTCAAGATATACTTCCACTCAACCTCGACACGATCACTATACAGGTTAGTATGATAGTGTAATGGGAATCCACTTTACTTACCCGTCTGGCAGCACGTCTACCAAAACAGCCTGCTCACCAGGTCTGTTCTCCACGACCTGTGCACCGTAGATTTGGTACATCTCACCACCCACGTACTGGAACTGGATAACATCCTTGGGCTTGAGGGTCTTGCCGTATGACATGACATACTTATCCTTCTCAAGTGCTTCAACGTCGACCGTCTTGTTGTTCCTCTTCTTCGGTCGATGGAAGCGACATCGGAAGTCGTAGCCATCGTAAAAGTACTCTGTACCCTCTTCGTCAAATGTAGGCATCGGCCCAAGGTCCACCTGTACTC